GTTCTTCAGAATTATTTGTTCATGACTCTTGACATCAATTTACCCATGCCAAGCTAATGTTCTAAAGTTCAGCCTTTGTAAGGTCAAACGTGGGCTAACCAGCCTAGGTATTTAACCACTAAGCCACACCACCTCATGATGCTCAGTTCATTCTGTGGGTTGATGCACTTTCTGGAATAGATCTGCAACATTTGTGCGAGTAAAGAAATCTATTTAGACCATCACACTTTCAGTCCATGTAAAAGTAAGGTTAAATTGTTTTTTTGATTTGCAACAGTTTTGCAGAGTTAACAACTATAGGTAATATGTGGTTTGCACAGTTTTTATCTTGGAATAATAGATAAGTTGGAAGTTTAGAAGTGATAACACATTTTAATAGTCTTCTTTACAGATTCATTTGGCTATAACTTAAGAACTAACTTGATGTAGAGTTGTCAGAATTATTAACCTTCCTGTATTATTAGCCCCCCTGTATAATGTTTCCCCAATTTCTGTTTGACGGAAAGAATATTCAACACATTTCTAAACATAATAGTGTTTACTGATGTGTTTTATCTTTGTCATGATGACAGTATATAACATTTCACTAGATTTTTTTCAAGATTTTAGTATTCAGCTTAAAGTGCAAATCAAAGGCTTAACTACACTGAAAAAAATCTGTATTTTACAGTTTATTTCTGGCAGGTGGGGGAAGAAAACTTAAAATAACAGCGGTTGAGTTACAGAAATTTACTGTAAAATGACAGAGGTTAAATTACAGAAATTTACCGTAATATGACAGAGGTGGAATTACCGAAATTTAATGTAAAATAATAGCAATTGAATTACAGAAATTAACTTTAAAATGACAGAGGTTAAATGACAGAAATTTACCTTAAATGACAGAGGTTGAATTACAGAAATTTACTGTAAAATGACAGAGGTTGAATTACAGAAATTTACTGTAATATGACAGAGGTTGAATTACAGAAATTTAACGTAAAATGTCAGAGGTTAAATTACAGAAATTTACTATAATATGACCAACGTTGAATTACAGAAATTTACTGTAAAATAATGGCCATTGAATTACAGAAATTTACCTTAAATGACAGAGGTTGAATTACAGAAATTTACTGTAAAATGACAGAGGTTGAATTACAGACCTTTACAAGAAATTTAAATTGAAGGAAACTTCTGTAATTTAATGTCTGTTATTTTACGGTAAATTTCTATAATTTAACAGCCGTTATTTTAAGGGGTTTTTTCGGCACCCCAGCTGTCAACAATTTTTTTTTTAAGTTTAGGTTAATTGGGCAAGTTATTGTAATTAAGCAAGTCATTGTTTACCAGTGGTTTGTTCTGTAGACAAACTAAAACATATATATTTTAAGGGGGTTAATAATATTGACCTAAAAGCTGCTTTTATTCTAGCTGAAATAAAACAAATAAAACTTTCTCCAGAAGAAAGAATATAAGAAATACTGTGAAAAAATGTCTTTAAATATAACTTTGGCTAATAATTTTGACTTCAATTGTACATCTCAACAAGCAGGGATTAGATTATTAGTAGTCTAGTCTCTGGGCTGTGATAAGCGTGTTCTCATTGTTTTAGCGTGTTGTGTTTTTTTCTCGGTGTCCTGAATGTTTTCAAAGTGTGGGTTGCTGTGTGGTTAGTGTGTTGCTATGTTGTTGCTAAGGTGTTATGAGTATTTAATTTACTGTATTGATGTTGTTTACATGGGGTGTCTGTCTCAATCAGCTGATTCCATGAATTAATAAGATATATCCACATATTTAGACACAGGTTAGGACATAAGCTTGGTTCACTGATGATACTTTTTATGTCTATAAGCCAATACAGGTTTGAGTAGTTAATTGATGCCCTCTTGTGGCTATAATGAGGGGGAATTGGGGGTATAACTTGGGTAACACTTTACAATAAACTTGTATTAGTTAATGCATTTACTAAAATGAACAAACAATGAACTAAATCTCATTCATTCATTTTCCTTCGGCTTAGTCTCTATTACAGAGGTTGCCACAGTGGAATGAACCACCAACTATTCCCTCACGTTTTCCACAGCGGATGCTCTTCCAGCCACAACCCAGTACTGGGAAAAACCTATACGCTCTCGCGTTCACACACAGTCATACACTACAGCCAATTCAGTTTATTCAATTCACCTATAGTGCATGTCTTTGGACTGTGGGGGAAACTAGAGCACCCGGAGGAAACCCACGCCAACTAGTCCAGCTGGGACTCAAGCCAGCAACCTTTTAGCTGTGAGACGAAAGTGCTAACAACTGAGCCACCATATAAGAGACCATAAAGTATGAAATGTTTTCTTGATCCTTATTATACAATGTCCCAACAATATGTAAAATACAGGCAGCTTAATATAGGAAAAATGAACCAAGATTTAGCTTCTGTACCACTGAAATTGAAATGTTGATGATGTCTTACTCATGTCTGTCAGTATTATTGACCACACAAAACTTATTTCTGTTTGCACAAACATTGTTATTTTCAGTTAAGTTGTGTTTTCTATATTGGTGTCTGCCTATATTTGCCTGGCCTGTACTTAATGACAGATGAATTTACATGAAAAAAACATTTGACTGGACATATGGTCTTTGATGTCAACAACAAAAGCTGTGGGAAACCTTTCCTCCTCCATTTTAGAAGCCTATTTATTTTGCTAGATGGATATTATTATTTTCATTAGCTATTTTCCCTGCTCCCTTATCAGAAAAAGCAACATTTTCTGACAATGATGAGCACTATTAACTCCAAATAACCAGCAGAATAGGGTTGCTTTTGCCTTAACCGGAGGCTGCAGAGAGAACAGGAGGGGTCCGTGTTGACGTCTTAAACTTGAACACGGTTTCTGATAATTTAGGCTTGCAGATAATAGACGATTCATCTACAGACAGCTGTATTCATTGTCCTTTCAGTATATTAATTGCACGCCGAGCCAATGACGGACTGACGAATGATGAATTGGACTTCATGATGAATGCCTAATCGATTCTGCCTAGCTGGAGTGTTTTGTTTAACTACTCAAAGACCTCAATAGAAGTCTATAATGAAGTACAGGGAAATGAAAAGGTGAAAAAAAGGCATAGTTACAAAACTAATGGCAGAATCGAAACACCTCCATTGTGAGCTAGAAAATATTTTTGGATATATATATATGCTTATATACATATATATATATATATATATATATATATATATATATATATATATATATATATATATATATATATAGCTAAAGCTTAAAGGATCCTGTGAAGTGTTTTTAAAATGTGAGTTTTTTATTCAGTCTTTCTTAACTGAAACAGTAAAAAGACAGGACGGAGCATGTAGTAGCTTTTTACAAACAGCCAATATTGTTTTGTTTTATCACGGATTTGCTAGTGAGTGTGGATGAGCTCAAGCGCAACAAATGAAAGGCAATCTAGAAGCATCTTGAAGGGGGCGGGGCATGTGAGAGAGAGCATTTGATTGGTTAGAAGATTTAATTATGAAACTGAAGAACGAAGTGATGTCAAAAAAATCATTGATCCATTTAGGCGGCAGTGACAGACTGCAAGCTTTTTGTCACTGTTATGGTGCTTGTATCCTAGCTTGTAGCTTGTATCCTTAAGACCACACTCAAAAATGACATTAACTGTTTGTTCAAACTACTTATATAAAAGCAGCTTAAACAACAAATTGTTGAATCGAGAAATTATACCAGCTATAAATATTTTTTTACCATCTACAAAATATACAACACAGACTATATTGCAAATTTAGCAAATAGGCCTTTATGACAGAGGTTTGTGATACAACAATTTACAGTAGTGCAATGATTAAATCCTTATTTTCCATGAAGCCATCCACCTGGACAGATGTGCAAGACTGGCTCGAACAAAAATATACACCATGTATTTTTCTTTGAAAAATTATCTTTTTGAAAGAATTTCGTTTGGTATAACTTGTACCTTAATGTTAATGTATGTTTTGTTGGTCACCCCAGCTGCCAGAAAAAAAGTAAAATAACGATTTTTTTTTTACAGTGTATATTAAATGCTTTTCATTGTTAATGACAAAAAACTCCATTGCGCCTATCCATTTCAGCTATTCACAGCACTGAAAGCATTCCCAGATTACTTCGGAAGAACGATCTCGGTCAGAAGCATGAGATAACTCATGGTATATTGTGAGATGATGATAGCGTGATTTTTAAAATCAGAGTATGCATTTTTTGGCAGTCAGTCAAGATAAAATCGCATAAAACATCCTAATATTTTAGAGAAAGTAGTCAAAGTTTGCAAAACCAACTACTGATCTTATTCACAAACTTTGACCAACCCATAGTTTAACATCATCTACTTTTTGATTAACTGACCCGCAGATTAACGGCGGTACTCGCGAACATAACCAAGAACCACACGTATCAGGGTTTTATGCGTCCCCAAATGCAATGTCAAGAGAGTGACTCCATAAGGTTTTGTAAACTGCACACACTTGATTATGTAATGTGTGAAGTTGTGGACGCGTGCAAGGATGACTTATTCTTTAAATGTGCTTAATTCGTATTTGATAAGGTCTATCGATTTACAGAGTAATCAAAAATTCTGTGTATATTTTTGACCTGGAATATCCTTCTGTATAACATGTTTGTGTTCATCCTTGCAAACCTCCTTTCAAATCAATTGCACTTTCATTGAAACCAAATCTAAGTTTGGAATTGGTACCAGCGAGTACACATATTAAAATACTCATACTCGTATCGGTTTGTAAAAAAGTGGTATCGGTTCATCCCTACTGATACTAAATTCCAAAAAAACATTATATTAAATTTCACTGGACTTTTAAATATGTAACACTGCAAGCATGTACACTTGACCTGCTGTGACAGTAGCAAAATAGGGTGTGTGTTTGTGGTAGTGAGTGCTTTCGTGAGGCATGATGCTCAAATTCACTCCGTAGTGGAAACCACATGCAGCAACTGCACAAACCCCAAAGGCTGAAGGTGCAGGTCACGCTCTTCAGTCAGAGTAGCTCTCCGTCAGGACCAATTCAGATCTGTGGCTGACTGACTGACTGAGAGATGCCTCTGCTGCTGCTCTGTGTGCTTTTCCAGGCTTTGCCTTTGTCTCAAGGTAAAAAAAAAGGTTCTGATCTTTGCTTTGTTTTGGCAGAAGGAGTCTTTTATCTAGAGAGCTTAAGTTTAAGTGTGATTTATAAAGTATTTATTATTATTTTTAAAGTATAAAGGACCTAACGGTTACTCTATCAAGTCAGTGATGACACTTGAGCAGAAAGGTTGTGCCACTCTCAAACACTATTGCACAATCCAGCTAACCTATCACTATCATAGATGGAAAATCAAATGTGCACTTTCTACAATAGACTAGATGTGTAAGACACGCTTTGTGGTTAAACAAAGCTCAGTTTAACTAATGCTGCACAATGCAATCTGAATGCATTTTTTTAAGCGACAAAAGAAAGTACATCAACGCCTCGGCTCATTACAACACAATCATTGATTCGTTTATGCACTTCAATGTACTCTGCTACAACATAAATGAGCTGAACCTCACAGGAGATTAAATGAAAAAGCAAGACTTCAATTGTAAGTCAAATGCACTTGCTGGCTTAAAATATATGTGTATTTTGTATAATTTTCCTCATAGTCTGTTGAAGACTATATATGGAGTTCATTTAGATTGTGTAGAACAAGCTACAAATATTATAAGCAGGCATTTCCGAGCCCTGTTTCAATAATAGATTAGGAAATATGTTATTATTTTCTCCAGGTTTGTTCTATAGAGAGTGCAAGGCACAGAGGATCCGGACGGAAATAGAGTGTACAGATTGTATCTATATAAAATTGCTGTTATTCTGAGTAAACGTTTGCTGATATTCCCAGTGTTCTATAAAATAAAATAGTCAAATTTGTTAGTTAATAATAAAGCTTGTGCAATTTTATGTAAGTACTTTTTCCATTTATACTTGTTTGACTGGTGTTATGCTTTAATGTATAGTTCACCGTGAAGCGAAGATTTCCTCATCATTTACTCAAACTCAAGTGGTTCTAAACTGTTATGAATTTATTTCTTCTGTTGAACACAAAACAAGTTTTTTTTTTGAAGAATGTTGGGAAAAAAGCAGCCATAGTAGGAACAAAAAAACACTATGGAAGTCAGTGAATGTATTTTCATTCTTCGGTATATCTCTCTTTGTGTCCAACAGAAAAAAGAATCTCAAACATGTTTGGAACAAGCAAGTAAATGATAACGGATTTTTTATTTTTATTTTTTGGGATGAATTATCCATTAAAATAATATGTAGCTATTTTTAAAATGACTCTTACTTCATTCTTTGAAAGTAATTACAGACATCATGCCATTCTGTGAGGTATAAAATATTTTTGGATACTCTAATAACGTGTGTGAGAACATACTGGTTAGTCACAAATGCAATAATTACTTTACTGAATAAATTTGACATTTTTGATTCCACATTAATGACCACATTAAATGTCGGCCTAGGCTTTGCAATGTTTGACAGATGAAGAAACTCATTTAGAAGACCATGCTGTGTTGAAATACATGACCCGAAGCTATTTTATCAACTTGTGTTAACACAACACGTTTTAAAGAAGTCGTATAGTTATAAATAACTACTGAAAATTAGATAATTTTTATTATGAGGTAACTTACATATTTCATCTTACAGCCTCGCTCATATTGTGAATGCAATCGAAATGGCTACTGCATACATTTCAAACAGCAGGCTATTCTGACTTGTATTGTGTTGTGTACTTTAAATGTAGTAAACGTGACAGCCTTGCAATACTAATCAAGCATCAAGCATTATGCATAAGTTTTTTATGCACCTTGTTCTACATTGCAGTTGTCTTTGATCATTATTCTTCATGCACATTGTTCAAATGAACAGAGGGTCTAACACAGGGGTGCCCAAACTTTTTTTATAAACGGCCAAAAAACAAACTTGATTAAGCGATGTGGGCTGAATTTAAATATACCAAACCTTATTATGTTAAATTTGCCATGGGTCATTTCCTCATTTGTTTGCTAATATTTAAAAATAACTAGAAAATGTTGCTTTAAAGCATTAATTAATGGCGCAGTGTCATTTTTAACTTTTTATAATGAACTTATTATAGTAAAAACATAAACAATCCCATTTATACAATACAATCAAGTTTAATGATGAATGCACTAGTCGAACTCCTCCTGCCTTTGCTTTGATTTGCTCGCCGATGTCTAGGGCCGGACAGAATCTGCATTTTTCTGGCCGGACATTTTTTTGCTATTTCTGCACAGATTTTGAAAATCTGCTTTATTTATGTAAAATGTTTTCTTTGTGAAAATCCAAAGGAAAAACTTAACATATGAAAAAAAAAAAAAAAAAAAAAAAAAAATATATATATATATATATATATATATATATATATATATATATATATATATATATATTTTTTTTTTTTTTTTTTTTTTTTTAATTTTATTTAATTTTTACAATGAAAATTTGATTGGATCCACTTATTTGGTAAAAAAGCAGGTCTCTCATATAATATATCTACTAAAAGACAGAAAGTATTACTTTACAAACTGTATTGTAAATAAATCATGCGGACATTTTCATATAGTCAATAATATTAATGACATTAATTTAAAAACTGAATAGATATCCATTTACACAATTAAATAAATAGACTTCCATGTGGGCTACCGATGTCTTGTGCATTGTACTGCATCTGTCAACTGACCGTATTTACAATTTAAAAGTCTGATTCATTTACAACATTTCCAAGTTTCATTTTAGTTGGATTTTTGTAGCTCTTCAATTAAACAAAGAAACAAAAGGTTATGTTAAATTTAAAATGACGCTCTCTGTCAAAGGCAGGGCAACTCCATATCCTTCTCCCATTCTTTTCAGATAAGATGGCGGGCCAAAACAAAGCTTACCAGGGGACAACTTTGGTCTGTGGACACTTCTTTGGGCACGTAAAACTAACCGTTAACTGCAAATTGTTGACTGGAGAAATATTTTTTTACCATCCACAAACAAATATGTGCATTATTGCAGAAAATATAATAGTATAAATCATTTGTGTTTTATTAAATATTATTACTATTAATATTTGCTTACTTAACAGTGGTTGAATTAAAAAAGTGATACTGAAATACTTGCTTTTTATTTGCTTTTTTTCATGACATACAATCGAAAAGCAACATAGGGAAAACAAATTATATCGCAGGATTTTCATAACAGTCATTTATATAGTTCATTTAGATTTTGTACATGCTATTATTAACAAAGCGCAATGTTTTAAAAGCATTTCAGTATATCTTATGTTATATTTTCTCCACTTTTATGTATTAATGAATTTATGCCACAGAGAGAAAAACAAGACAATTTTGCAAGATGTATTTTGATGAATGCCGCAGTGAAACTTTTCTTTTGAAATGCTTTTTGTTAACAGCAGATTCCCTCAGATGTTGTGTTTCCAAAAAGCACACTTGTATGACTCAAACTGCAGAGACCGAACACTGGAAACTCAGATATTGTGTGTAAAGATTACAGTGTCACATATTAAAGTACACTCAAAAAATGACGTTTACTGTTTGTTCAAACTACTTATTTAAAATTAGTTGAAACAACACAACTCAAGGTGTTTTTTGTGACAACTTAGTTTTTTAATGTTCAATCCACTTAAATCTGTAAAACTTAATAAACTAACTTAATTCCTTCATGTTGTGCCAACACTAATCAATTGTGTGGAAACCGACATTTTTTATCAGTGTACATATAGCAAACAATGTTGGGTTCCACACATTCGATTTATGTTGGGACAACATGAAGGAATTAAATTATTTTTAAGTCTATAACTGTATTATCTATAATGTAAATGACGATACAGTCATATACACGGCTGCATCTACACCTAATCTGGCCCTTTCTCATCTACAGATCGCTTTTTTAATGTTTTTCAACATAAAATTAGTTTAATTAATTAGTTAAAATTAGTTTTAAATGCCAATAAAACAAAACTTATGCTATTTTCAAATTCAAAACAAACCAAGCAAAAACTAGGTCCTATTACTACTACTACTCATGGTGCAAAGATTAAATTAGTGTCCCAGTATAAATATCTTGAAATTTTAATTGATGATACATTTTCTTAGTACTCACATTCAGCAATTGGTGAAAAATATTAAAAGTGATTTTAGGCTTCTATTCTAGAATTAGGAACTGCCTTTATTTTGATGCTAAAAATAAGCTGTTTAAATCAACATTCATGTCGACATTGGACTACGGTGAAGTTATCTGTATGCATGCTTCATCTCAAAGTCTGAATGCATTGGATACTGTTTACCATGGTGCACTAAGATTTATAACTAATTTTAAATCCCTAACTCATCATTGTGTGCTGTATACTAGGTTGGTCTGCTTTGTCCATTCATAGGTTCAAGCATTGGCATATCCTTGTTTACAAACCTATACAAGGTTTACTCCCATCATATTTACAGAATTACATTTGTAAAAAGGCTGTTCTTAACTATGATCTTCGGTCACAGGATATTTATTTACTGTCTGTCCCTAAAGTGCGGACTGAGATGGGAAAAAAGGCTTTTAAGTACGCAGTACATTTTGCTTGGAATAATCTGCAAACAGACTGTGAAAAAGACTTGATTTCACTACATGCTTTTAAAAAGACTATAGAAGATTTAGAAGTTTTGTAGATGTTTTGAATAGTTTGTCAGTGTGATTCATGTTAACTGTAAATTGATTTTTGTTTGTTGTCTGTGAGACCCATGTGGCATATATACTGCCTAATCCTGGCCAGGAAGCTCTTGTAAAGAGATTTTTAATCTCAATGTGTCTTTCCTGGTAAAATAAAGGTTATTATAATAATAGTAATAGTAATAATAATAATAATAATAATAATAATAATAATAATAATGATAATAATAATAATAATGATGATGATAATAATAATAATAATAATAATAATAATAATAATAATAATAATAATAATAATAATAATAATAATAATAATAATAATAACTGGGACAAAGATTTAGCATTTTAAAAACCACACTTAGCCATTGTGTTCTCATGCATTGTTATAGCTTGTACAAAAGCTACTGGCCAACTGGCAAGTCATACTCACTGCTGTTTTACTCGGTTTTGGCCAATGTTAATTTTAACCCGGCTTACAGCAGATGGAAAGACTTTGTTCTAGTTTTTACACTTTAAAGCAAAGCGACAGTTTTGCACTATAAGTCAAACTTTTAATGTTCATCTTTTTATCTTCAGGGCTGAGTGTAACAGATGACCATCCTTCAATAAAGGTGTCAGAGCATGACAATCATACGGACCAACAGAGTAAGTAAAATGATTACTGCTACTCTAAAAAAACAGAACGATGATTTTCATTGAAAGCATCATGTCAAGATCTGTGTTATCATCAGTGGGTACAGTCAGCAGCAATCTCACTATGATCAGAAAACTCAAAAGAGGCCACAAATCAAGCAGCTAATCAAGACGCTGAACAATATGCATGAGCACAGTAGTTTATGTAGGCCTGCTGAGACCAACCTGCTATCATCAGCCAGAGAAAAGAGATCAACAAGACCACCGCAAGAGAGCTAAAGCAATCTGCCACCCCAGAGACAACAGCCTTGTTTTATTTCACGCTGGAATTAATTTTGAAATCATTAAGCCCTGGTAGATGTGATCATTCAGAAAGTGATAATGACATCGTAAATGCACAGAAAAGCCCATGCTGTCCGTTGCGTGTTTCTTGTCTCTCGGCTGTGGCCAACAATTAAACACAACATCATCTGAACAATCTATTGAGCTGAAAGCCTCTTGATAATGTGACATTGAATAATTGTTCATTTATTTTAAGTAGCAAAATTGATTTTGACTAATAGTCAACACAATTTTCGACCTTTTCTGCAGCTTCGTGCAGAAGAAAAGGGAATAATGTTAGTCTGAGTATTGCCGTTCATTCTTCAAGATTGCAAGCGTTCGTTTTTTTAAGCTGCTTTTATATACAGTTTTAATTACAAATCATCATTTACTTCCATACTAAACAAATTGTTTTACCTTTAAGCTCCTATTGATTTTTCTATCACCTATTTTGGGAGGTATAATTAATATTTAGCTTTAATAAATGATATATTTACTCAAGTTTGATGTTATACTTTTTAAAACGATACTTTTGCTTTCATTTATACTTTAAATTGCTTAAATTATGCTGAAAAAAGGAAATATATTTGTGCTTTCACTGAGATTTACTTAAGTATTGTACTTGGCTTGTAGTTGAATTTTCTCTTGACTGAGTAGCCTATTATGTAGTTTTACTACTGTATAACAACCTTAAATGTTCATTTACAATTTAACAAGTTGTCCTTGGTGTATTTAATGTTTAATGTTAATAAATGGCAGTGTTCAAAGCAGTAATCTGTATCTACAAATTCAGAGTTGTTAACAAGGTTGTTAAATATTAAATATGACCTCTAATATTTAATATGACCTTGTGAAGTCTCTTACAAAAAGTATATTTACTCAAGTTTGATGTTATTCTTCTTAAAAAGATACTTTTGCTTTCATTTATACTTCAGATTGCTTGACTTTCGCTAAAAGAAATGTAAATATATTTGTGCTTTCACTGAGATATATTTAAGTATCTTACTTGGCTTATAGTTGAGTTTTCTCTTGGTTGAGTAGCCGATTACATACTTACTACTGTATAACAACCTTACATGTTCGTTTACATTTTAACAAGTCATCCTTTTATTATTCAAAACTAGTTTATTGAGTATTCGTTAACGTATACTTTTATTGCCAGTGCTTTAACTAGTAAAAGTAAAAGTTTAGTATTTACACTACCAGTCAAAAGTTTGTGGTTAGTAGGAGTTTTAAATGTCTTAAAATAAGCTTCTCCTGCTCACCAAGACTGCATTTGTTTAATTAAAAATACAGTACATATTGTAAATTATATTGCACTATAAAATAACTGATCAAAAGTAGATTATCATTTAATTTAATTATTTATTCCAGTGATTTTAATAATTATTTTTCAGCTTCGTTAGTCTTCAGTCACATGATCAGAAATCATAACAATTTAACCTTTTTTACATTTATTAAATGCCGCCTTGATGAACAGAATATTAAAAAGTTTTTTTTTAAATAAAATAAAAAAACATGGAACAAAAACTGACCCCAAACTTTTGAGCGGTAGTGTATATTTTTAGAATATTTATATCTACAAGTACACTGATACATTCTTACCAAGCAAAGTTCATGTATTTTTGCATAATTTAAATATATTTAATAAAAATAACTTGAAGTTTAGTTATTTTTAAGGGATTAATGTACAACATTTTTGTAGGAGATTAAGCATTCCTTTGTCACCATCCTTTTGTTAATCTTTTTATTTTTATTTTGTTCAAACGTTTCAGCTTCAAGCCCTATTTTGAACACTAATTCTTAAAAGTGATTGATGTTCATTTTACTCCACCACCTAAACATTTTGGGAGACACTTTAGAATAATAGTCCATTAATTAATGTTAGTATGAATAATACAGTAAAGCGTTTATTAATCATAGTTCAACATTAACTAATACATTATTCAAATCAAAAGATGTACTTGTTAACATTACTTAATGCACCGCCAGTTTATCCTTTAAGGTGCACTCCTCACACCTTGGATTGAATAATATACTGATACAATTCTAATAAACAGTAATAACCAATTAAAATAATAATGATAACTTATGAATAAAAGGTCAACTAGGCGGTTATGATGAACAAACATTAACTAACGTTATTTAAGTTAAATAAAATTAAATAACATTAACAAAGATCAATAAATACTGTATTAAATGTATAATTGTTCATGTTTGCAAATACATCAACTAACATTAACTAATGTACCCTTATTTAAAAACTTTAACAAATAAAATGTTTAATGCTTGGCAAAGGTGAATGTATTTTATTTAAAATGCAATAAAAAACTTTATAATATTATAATGTGTAATACTATGGAACTGGGAAACACTTTATTTTGATGGTCCATTTGTGTATTAGCGCTTAATAGCTGTTGATATGCTCCTGCAACAGACATTTAACTGACTATAAGATACTTTGCAACTACATGTCAACTTACACTAACCCTAACCCAAATAATTTAAATAGCTGTTATTTGATTGCATACTCATTACTGTAGTAGTAAATTATTCCAGTATTCAGTGTAACTTAATAATTTCTCATCAATAGTAATTTGCAGATTTGTTTTGGCTAAAAAAACAACATTATTTTCAATTGATTAAAAAAAAGTTCAAAAGAATAACATTGATTTTAAAATATGTAACAATTTCACTGTCACTCATGATCAATATTTTAATGCATCCTTCTATCATAAAAGTATTTATTAAAAACCTTTTACTGACCCCAAACTCTTCACCACCATCTAACAGTAAAACATCAGACATTTGACCTCTGACCCCTCTTCATAAGTCGAGACCTTCAGAATGAGTCAAAATTCCACGGGCGATACACACAGACACAATCTGCATCCTGTACTCACAAATCAGGAGAGCTTCATGAGCTCAAACCACACTCTGCGGAGGCAATGTCATAAACTTTCTAAAAAAAAAAAGAAAGTTCTTTCCCCGGTGTCCTCCATGCTTCAATATGACATTTCCACAGGAAGTGACTCACGGGATGTGGCTGTGTTGCAGTGTACTGCTACAACGTTTTGCAACACAAAACAATGCCCCACGGTTTAGATATTCACCTGTTTGGGTCTAAATAAAAGTCTCTTGTGTGCATACTAGAAATAAAACACAGAGAACAGATAAGATCAATGCCAGGATGCGATGCTGGAAAACTTTATGACTCAACCCAGAGTACTGTCAAGTTTAAAAATAAAAGTCATGTGAATCTTAGGAACGGTTAAGGTAGACGATTCAGGCTTTATGTCTTGCATTGTGCTTAATTAAAGGAATAGATCACCCACATATTACAATTTGGTCATCATTCACTCACCTCTGACTTGTTTCAAAGCAGTTTGAGTGTTTATGTTCTAATAAACACAAAAGAAGATATTTTGAAGAATGTTGAAAACCTGTAACCATTGACATGCATAGTAGAAAACAAACAAACAATGGAAATCGATGGTTACAGGTTACCAGCTTTCTTCCAAGTATCTTCTTTTGTGTTCAACAGAAAAAACAAACAAACAAACAAACAAACTCAGACAATTTTATTTTTTGGGTGAACTATGCCTTTAAGAACAGGTCAGTTAAATTGAGTACTTAATCGAATGATTTAATTACAATTGGTCAATAGGCAATAGACTGTGCAGTAAATTTACCCTTGATAATATCATACACTAGACTTTGATATAATGCAAATGAGACTGTGCAATATACTTTTTTGCTTCCGACTCCTTATTCATACATTAGATTATACACAGTATTATTTAATACATATTACCACACTACATGAAATAAAAGTTTTACAGCTGTCACTTGGGTAGTACCCTTTTAAAAGGTACATTTTAGGTACTAATGTGTACCTTAAAGATACCAAAAAGGATTCTTAAGGCACTGATATGTACCCTTTAAGTGCTGAAGTGTAAAAGTACAGTCCCAGCTTTTGTGCATTTTTCGATCTCTGTGAGTATATGAAAAAATGATACTTTATAAAATATATTTGGTCATGCTGTAGTGTTAGTTGTTTACATATACTGACCTGTAATACATATCGCCACTGTGCAATCTGTTTTTTTTTTTATGCTGTTTGTTGTGTTGTTGTTTGTTTGTGTATTCTGCTACTGTGACTTTAATTTGCAATAAGGAGTTGCATTTTAAAGGGATAGTTCTCCCAAAAATGAAATGTGCTCGCTATTTACTCACCCTCAAGTTTTTTTCTACGGGCGTAATCACACTTTGTATAGTTGCTTTAGACCGGGCCCTCCCATTTCCCCTGACGGCCCACACTCACATTACGTCATCGATGATGCGCTGTTCAGTAAGCGCTTTCTTTATATCGTTATATCGTTTTAGTGGTTTGGGATGCGGTGACACGCAGTCAAATATTTAGCTGAACAGATCATTCTTTGAAAAATGCTTTAAAATTTTTAAAGAACTCAATGATACAGTCTGGGCAAATTTACTACCCATTTGTTATGTTCAGGATGAAAACATCCACTAAATGAAACTGCTGTAAAAATGCATCTGCTATTTTTTTTTTTCAAACTTTTTTTGTATAAATCTGTTAATCAACTTCAGTTCTGATCAAAACTACTAAATTGCTTTGGAAATTACAGCATTTATAGGAATTAACACTTTAATGCAAATAAAGTGTGTGTATGTGTGTGAAGCAGGTCGCACACCAGAAGCGCCGCTCGGCGCCGCGACATGGCGCTTACATGACAGTTTAAAGTAGCTATCACACACCAGACGCGCACATTCGAATGATATTTAACATGAAACTAATCAGATGGCGCTCTGTGGCGCGGCTGAAAAATGAACTGCGTCCTGAGCCGTCGCCTGGCCGGTGTGTGTATCCTGATAGAAACCTATGTTTAGAATTCTAAAATACATGGCGCTGCGTGGCGCTGCATGGCACGCCGCTAAGCGGCGCTTCTGGTGTGCGACCTGCTTGACAGTGACCATTGCGCACTTACCCTGATGTGCCAATCAAAATATGCATCTCAGCTCTCAGAACTACATTGAGTAAATAAAAACAAAGACTGTGTATTTATGCACCATCAAATGTGATCCTAATATAAGTCAATGGGGCAAAAACAGCCACCAACAATAAATTAGTGAGAAAAAATAAAACCTAACAATGCATCAATGCCAATGTAGTTACTAATCATTCACATGTACAAGACTGTGATACAAGGTAAAAAAAAAAACCAGTCCACAATGACATTTATATTGAAAATATGTTATTTTGTGTTTTTTCACCAAATCAGTGACATAATTTGTGAACTTGGCAATTAAGAGTTAAAATCCTGTAATTTTTAAAAGCATTTAGTAGTTTTGATCAGTACTGAGGTTGATAATAAAAAAAAATGTTCTGATGCATTTTTACAGCAGTTTAATTCAGTAGATGTTTTTACTCTGAACATAACAAAGTAAATTTGAACAGTGCATAAGGGTTAAACCTTGATGAGTTTCTTACTTCTGTTGAACAAAAGAGAAGATATTCGGAAGGAAGCTGAAAAACTGTAAACAGTGACAAGTAAAGGGAGTCAATGGTTTTCCGTCTTTAGAGTTTAACAAAAGAAAGGAACTGGTAACACTTTATTCTGATGGTCCATTTGAGTATTAGACTGTCTGCTTAATATCTGCTGATACTGCTCCTTCAACAGACATTTAACTGACTTTAAGAAACTTTGTAAGTACATGTCAACTTACACTAACCCTAACCCCAACCTAACAGTTTACTTATAATCTAATGAGATTTAGTTGGCATTTAGATGCAATATAACTTAAATTCAACAAATGGACAAATAAAGCGACCAAAATTGTCTTTTTTTATGTTTTTACATTTTATCCACAAAGACAATTCTGATTCTTCAATGAATTCACTTAACGACAATTTTTTTTCTTTCTAAACTAGTTGATCTCTCCACACTAAGCCTCTCTGATGGCTGCTCTGGCACGATCAGGGCTTTTCACCAGAACACTACAATCAGCGTGACCCTCAATCTTCTGGATGCTCAGGAAAAGAGCAAGCTTGCACTTCAAATCTGTGAAAATTTAGGTTGTGGCCACGTTTCTGAGCACAGCACGACTGCAGCGGTGCACAATGGTGCTTGTGTTGCAAACTGCATCCTGAGAGACTCAAAGCTGCACAACTGCACTACAGCCGCAAAAGGCGACTGCATGAATGCTACTGAAGTAACCTGTGGTGAGTCATCTGACATCTGAGATTGTGTGATAATTGCTCTATTTTTGTCTTAAAATGTTATTGTGATCTGATTGGCCCTTAGAGCATCATAAGGTCCAATTGGTCGGAGGACCCGATCATTGTGCTGGACGGGTGGAGCTGCTGGATTCAGGGAATTGGGGAACGGTGTGCGATGATGACTTTAATGTGACAGCTGGAAACATTGTGTGTGGCCAGCTGAATTGTGGCAGTGCAGTAAGACTGGGCTTTTTTAGGGCCGGCAAAGGACCCATCCACATCAGCAAAATGAAATGCAATGGATCAGAGAGCAACTTATGGGAGTGCAGTTCCAACAACAACACTGACAGCTATTGTGGACACAAGAACGATGCTGGAGTTGTGTGTTCAGGTACTGCACACATGCACACTTAAGAAATGCTGAAAAAAAAAACCCCATAAAACTCTAAAAAACACTTTACTATGAGACTCCTTTAAGTTTTAAAAAGATAGTTCACCCAAGAATAAAATTCTGACATCATCGAAAATTGGAGTCGGAAACAAATACAGTCATTGACATTCATAGTAGGAACAAAAATACTATTGAAGTCAATGGCTTCATGTCCTCCAACTGTTTTCATTTTTACATGGTAGTTCACTCCAAAAATAAAAATTATGTTATTATTCATTACAAACCAGATGAAACCTCTTTCTTCAGTTGAACACAAAACAAGATATTCTGAAGAATATTAAAAACAACAACATTGAATTGACAGTAAGAACAAAAATACCCTGGAAGTTAATAGTTGCAGCTTTCCAACATTCTTTAAAATATCTTCTTTTGTGTTTAACAGAAGAAAGAAGTTTATTACGGTTTGGAATGAGTAGAGGTTGAGTAAAGGATCGAAGAACTTGTTTTTTTTTAGGTGAACTACGTCTTTAAAGTGAAAATTGCAATAGGAAAAAAGCAGTCACTGACATTCATAATAGGAACAAAAATACTATTGAAGTCAGTGACTGTTCCCTAAACACCCCACATTCTTCAGAATATCTTCCTTATCTTCTTTTGTGTTCAACAGAATAACCAGTGGAGATGAGTAAATGAAGGCACAATTGTCATTTTTGTGTGAACTATCCCTTTAAAGAACTATGATTGCCAATGAAGACCCTTTTTTTAGTGTAATATAAAGGCTGTGCTAAAAGTATTACTCGCAGCAAGTTAAGTTCCTACTCATTCTGAACCAGAAGAAACTTCTTTCTTCAGTTGAACACAAAAGAAGATATTCTGAAAGATATTAAAAACAGCAACATTGGATTAACATTTATAGTGAGAGCAAAATATACTATTGAAGTCAATGGGCTGCAGTTTTCTAACATTTTTCGAAATATCTTCTTTTGTGTTTAACATAAGAAATACATTTCTTCTGGTTTGGAATGAGAGGAGATTGAGTAAATGATTACATAATTTCTTTAGGTCAACTACCCCTTTAAAGTAAAAAAAACTGGAGAAAAAAGCAGCCATTGACATTTATTCATTCATTTTCTTTTCGGTTAGTCCCTTTATTAATCTGAGGTTTCCACAGCGGAATGAACCGCCAATTTATTCAGCATGCAGCCCCACTGACATTCATAGTAGAAACAAAAATACTATCAAGGTCAGTGGCTGTTTTTTCAAACTATTTTTTACTTTAAAGGGGTAGTTCACCCCAAAAATAAAAAAAAATCTGTTTTTAGCATTTGTTTAACACAGCGGATGCCCTTCTAGAAGCAACCCATCACTGGGAAACACATACACTCACATTCACACACATATACAATGGAAAATTTTAGCTTACCCAATTCAAGTGTACTGCATGTCTTTGGACTTGTGGGGGAAACCGGAGCACCCGGAGGAGAACATGCAAACTCCACACAGAAATGCCAATTGACCCAGCCAAGGCTTGAACCAGCAACCTTCTTGCTGTGAGGTGACAGCACTAACTACTGCGCCACTGCATCGCCTACCTCTTCAGTTGAACAAAAAACAAGATATTCAGATAAAAAAAAACAACAACATTGGATTGACTTTTATAGTAAGAACAAAAGATATACTGAAGTCAATTGGCTGCAGCTTTCCAACATTCTTTTGTGTTTAACAGAAGACAGAGTTTTTTTTTTTCTGATTTGGAATGAATGGAGGTTGAGTAAATTATGACAGATTTTTTTTATTTTTGGAGTGAACTACCCCTTTTAATGTGAAATTTACAATTGGAAAAAAGCAGTCATTGACATTTAAAGTAGGAACAAATATACTATTGCAGTCAATGGCCGTTGTTCCTTCCCAACATTCTTCAAAATCTCTTTCTTTGTTTTCAACAGAAGAAAGAATCTAAAACAGGTTTGGAACACGTGGAAGATGAGTAAATGAAGACAGAATTGTTGAATTTTTGGGTGAACTATCATTGCCAATGAAGAGCCTTTCTTTTTTAAAAGTGTAATATAAGGGTGTGCTAAACGTGCAGCAAGTGAGTTTCCTGTTTATTTGAGGTTGTAGATTGTGACCTGGTGGAACATTACCATAATTTATTTTAGATTTAACTTTTTAGGGTGGTGGGACACAATTTCCATGTCAGTCAGTCTGAAAATAGGACAGAAGTAGGACGGGGGCTTACAGCAGTATTTTTGAAATGTCAAAGCACACATATGCATGCTTCAGCTTGTTAGTGTCTTGTTGTAAAATCCAGTCTGATCAGTCAAGTCTTGGTTATTTGAATTGCTTTGATGTATTCAATGGATTTATTGTCTTTTATACAGGGAGTATTGAGAGCAGCTTTACAAACAGCCCAACTGTACCAGAGCTGACAACATTGGCAGGTGATGCTTTAGCTCCTGCTTTAAAAGAGAAAATGCATGATTAAATGGGTGAAATAACATGTATGTTATGTTTTGTCAATTAAACCCTCTTCTTTTATTTTTAGCATCAACAGTAGCAATGGGAGGCAGCACTGGAGTTTCAGGAGCAGCGATCGGCTGCATCCTCTTATCCATCGCTCTGCTTATTTTTATTGTTTTAAATGTTGCCATCTGTTTACATTTCAGAAAATCAAAAAGCAAGTACTTCTTACGTTTCTAGCACTCCTCACTCACTCACATCTGCTGAAGCATTGGAATAAACAATAATATAAAGTGGCACCAAAAATTACGCACAACTGTAGAGCTTTTAAGTGCATTTAAAAAAGTCTTAAAATAAATGCATTTTGTTATAATCATTTTATGTCACACTTTACATAAAGGTTTCATTAAATGTATAACTAATAGGAACTAATTATGAACAACACTTGTACAGCATTTATTAATAACAATTTTGCATTATTAACATCCAAATTCATGCTTGTTTATTATTATTTTATTATAATAATGCTATATATATAGCATGTATATATATATATATATATATATATATATATATATATATATATATATATATATATATATACATACAGTTAAAATCAGAATTATTAGCCCCCCTTTGAATTTTGTTTCTAAATATTTGTTTTTAAATATTTTGTTTTTAAATATTTCACAAATTTTGTTTAACAGAGCAAAGCAATTTTCAGTTTGTCTGATATATTTAAAAAACATTTAAAGTCAAAATTATTAGCCCCTTTAAGCTAATTTTTTTGATAGTCTACAGAACAAATCATCGTTATACAATAACTTGCCTAATTACCCTAACCTGCCTAGATAAGCTAATTAAGCTAGTTAAGCCTTTAAATGTCACTTTAAGCTGTATATAAGTGTCTTGAAAAATATCTAGTCAAATATTATTTACTGTCATCATGGCAAAGATAAAATAAATCAGTTATTAGAAATTATATTATGTTTAGAAATGTGTTAAAAAAATCTTCTCTCCGTTTAACAGAAATTGGGGAAAAAATAAACAGGGGTTTATAATTCAGGAGCTTTAATAATTCTGCCTTCAAATGTATAAAGAAATCAAACTATGTGTCATCAGAAAATAACTAATGTGAGTATTTTTAGACGTAAATAAAACTGAACTCATAGCACTGAGGTAAAACAACTAGACGTGTAGTTAATTTCATCGTTTTGTGGCCCTGAGAACATTGCAGAGCAGGAGCACAACGCTGATATTTATAAACATGCTGCATTGTTACAATCTTCAAAGAATTTAGCTTACTTCTTACCCAGTTTCTCTCTACACGCCATTTAAAGAACAGGAAATGCTTTTTTCAAAGAACACTTTGCTGAGCTATTAACTCGTTCTTTTGATATTAGCTAATGCAACAATAAAAAAGCAGCTTAGTGCTGCTTGGGAATCTTTAAGCCATTCTTTCTCATCCTTTCTGTTGACAGAATGTGTAATTCACCAACGTCACAGTAATTCACACACAAGTCTGCAGAATCAGTCCAGTGGAGAAATCTACCATACACACAATGCAGGAATCTACAACACACAGATCACCCCAGCTGCCAGAAGCCAGCAGTATGGTCTGTCATTTTTACCAGTTATAGTTTTCTTTTTTGTATTATGTCAGTATGTAATTTTTAAATATTTTTTTTTACATGAAAATGCTGGGTTCCACACAATTCCTTCATGACTTCCCAACACAAATCATTAAGTAAACTTCATTGTTTTTTTACTTTTTTTTTTTTTTCAATTTTAAGTTAATTGAAGATAAAATTAGGTTGCCCCCTCAAGAATTGTTTCAGCTCATTTTAAATACGTAGTTTGAACAAGCAAATTTTTTTTGACCTCATCACTAAGTTTTTTATTGTTATGAGCATAAAACATTTTACATAATTAATATTTTTAAACATTGGTGAAAATTTAATTTATTAAAATATTCTATAATTACGTCAGTATTTCAATTAAATGACCTAGTAAAATAAATGAAAAATACATTTTATTTATTTATTACATTTTCAAAACTATGGGTAAAAACGGCATGCTTTAATTCAATATTATAAAAATTCAATCACTAGTAATCACTAACTTTTTGTATATTTTCATAAACATGACTTTGTTTATATTTTATTATTTATACTACGGACTGTTGAGTGCTTGATTCTGATCGGCTAATGGACATTATAAGACGTAAATCGCACAGAAAAAGTAGTTCCAGGCAGGTTTTGACCGCATTACAGTTCTCGATTCACAACGGCGAATTATTTATTTTTACAAATTATTTTAAGTAAAAATCCAATCAAAACAAAAAGCTTTGCATGAGCTGCATAAGAAACTAGTACTAGCTGTTTGAGGACAAAACCCTGTCAATTGCCTTGAAATGCAACAAATAAAATACATAAAAGAATGTATTTTAGTGTGGTAACTATAGTATAAGCAGATTTATTATCACTGATCCGTTGACAAGTGATAATAGAAGTTGATCAGTGACCGTTTAATAGAACATAATGCACATGCCATTTGCATGATGTGACCATTTTACCACCTTGAGTGGCACAGCCATATAGGCAAATTATTGGATAATGACGGTTTGTTCTGTAAACAGTTAAGCAGAAAATATTGCTTAAGAAGGCTAATAATATTGACCTTAAAATGTTTTAATTATTTTTTTTATTAAACTGCAAATACAAATGTTCTGTCTGCTGAAGAAAAATATTTTTAGGAAAACTGAAAAATTCATTGCTCTTTTAAACATCTTTTGGAAAATATTTGGAAAAAAAATCAAAGGACTAATAATTCTGACTTCAACTGTATATGACCGTGACGCAGCTTCAAAAATTTGTTTCAAACCGGAAGTACGAATTTGCTTGAAATAACGCAAAAACAACCAATTTGCCCTAATAAGTGTTTTTAGCAGTGTGGGACACATATACGACTGTCAACAGCTCAAAAAATGTGTTTTGGTGTTTTGTGACCCTTTAAGAGTATGGCCTGCTGTTATATGTATTTTTACCTTTACATATCTATTTAAATTTTATAGACTATTTTTAAAACCCCAATTATTCAATTTTACAATGATTAATATTCACAGTATACCATAATTAACTTTTGTTTTGAAAATGAAACGCAATCTCTGGAGTGGTAAAATAGTTGTGTTTGTCATTCCTCAGAAAGTCTTGGCCCCAGAATGAGCTCAAACTATGGGAGTAAAATCAGCCAGAGAACAAACGAACCACTTCACAACCTCGACAGATTGTCTGATTTAGACTATGAGCCTCACAACACAGATGAACTGCAAACGCTGCACCTGAACTCACAGAGTATGCTGCATTTACCACAGCGCACTTATGCTGCACATATATAAAATCACATTACTACATTACACATTACTACATGTCACATTACTATAGATGGTTCATTCCGCTGTGGCGATCCCTGATGAATAAAGGGACTAAGCCAAAAAGAAAATGAATGAATGAATTAAAACATATATGCTTAGAAATATTATTGACCTATATGGGGGCATTACATTTCTTTTTTAAAATGTGGGCATTATAATTGATAAATTGATAAATATAGGTTAAAATTATGCAGCAGAGTTGAAAATAAAATGTAAAGATAATGCCCTCACTCTCTCTCTTGCAAACACACACACAGACACACACACACAGACACACACACACAGACACACACACACACACACACACACACACACACATATATATATATATATATATATATATATATATATATATATATATATATATATATATATATATATATATATAATAATTATTATTATTATTATCTGTTGCTCTTACAACTGGAATCAACAACAAGACTTTTGTCAGGTAGTGTATATTAGGGTTGGGCGATGTTGACCAATTTGGTATAGTATGATGTCTAATGTGAAACATCGTGATGAACTATGACAGCGTCATCATAGGTGGCGGTAAATTAAGTATTTATGAATAGTCAATTAATTCAAACGAATTAATTTTTTGTAGCCTACCGTTTCAAATACCTGATCCCCATTGTCTTTATTTTACCTATAACTCATATAATAAATGAAAAAAGATAAGTTACTCTCTGGGGTTTTGTGCTCAAAGCACCTGCTGACTGTTGGAGCTCAGATGCGCGCGCACGCTGCAGCGCATGACAGTGTGTGTGTGTGTGTGTGTGGTCACGTGATGTGCATTTTTAGCAGTATAGTATGGAAGGATTAAATATCACATTTTATACAATATATACATATTTTCAGAAATGCTAGAATTACTAAATGTCTTGATGACAGTATAAGAATCTTTACTAGTGCTGGGCAAAAATTAATCCCAGTCAATCACAATCGCTTACAAGTTTGTTTTGACATTATAGATATGTCTGCAATGTGTATATTTAAATACACACATACATGCACATATTTTAAAAAATGCTTATTTATATTTAGATATACGATATATAATTATATGATACACATTATATATCTATTTAAGTGTCTACGCAATTTTTTTTATGTGTGTGTGTGTATTACATAGTTATGTAATAAATGCACATAGCAATCACATTAAAAGTTAAAGTCAGCCCCCCATTTTTCCCCCCCAATTTCTGTTAAACGGAGAGAAGATTTCTTCAACACATTTCTAAATATAATAGTTTTAATAACTCATTTCTAATAACTGATTTATTTTATCTTTGCCATGATGACAGTAAATAATATTTGACAAAATATTTTTTAAGACTCTTCTATACAGCTTAAAGTGACTTAGCTAGGCTAAACTAGGGTAACTAGGCAAGTTACTGTATAACGATGGTTTGTTTTGTAGACTATCGAAAAAATATATAGCCAAAAGGGGATAATAATAATGACCTTAATGTTTTTTAAAAAATTTAAAGCTGTTTTTATTCATTCATTCATTGATATACCTAATCGTTCATTCATTCATTCATTCATTTTCTTGTCAGCTTAGTCTTTTTATTAATCCGGGGTCGCCACAAAGGAATGAACCGCCAACTTATCCAGCACATCTTTACGCAGTGGATGCCCTTCCAGCCGCAACCCATCACTGGGAAAAGGCTGTTTTTATTCTAGCCAAAATAAAACAAATATGACTTTCTCCAGAAGAAAAAATATTATCAGATGCTGTGAAAATTTACTTGCTCTGTTAAACATAATTTGGGAAATATTTTAAAAGGAAAAAAAAAATCAAAGGGGGGCTAATTCTGACTTCAACTGTATATATCTTATGTCAAATAAACTTTTATTTAGATGCGATTAACCGTGAAAAATCTTTGGCAAGCACTTATTTTTACTAGTTATTTTACAAGAGTATTCAATTTGAAGCACATTTAAACAAGTTAAAACAGGTCTTAAATAGGGTAATTTGGTTAACTAGACAAGTTAAGTTAATTAGGTCATGTGTTTTGTTCTGTAGCCAATTAGAAAAAAAAGTTCCCGAAGGGGATCACAATTTTTTATTTTTCCCAGCCAATCTAAAATAAATAAGACTTCCTCCAGAAGAAAAATATATCAGGAAACACTAGAAAAACTATTTAATATTTACCATATAATCATAATAATAATAGAAAATAGCTTACTCAGTTGTTTCTCTGTTTTAGCTCTCTGTATCACATATTCTTTATATATATATATATATATATATATATATATATATATATATATATATATATATATATATATATATAAAAGAGTTGAGGCTCTGCATTAAAGTATAAAGTGTGTCTGCTGAAAAGCCTCATCTGATATGAGCATGAATTCTGCTCTGCAGGAGATATAAATGATGAAGGCAGCACATGCTCAGGAGACAGACATCTACACAACGTGGAAATCAACACCAGCACCTTCATGTCAGGTAGCACCAAACAAATCAGTCTGATTCATGAAGTAATTAACTGTTCTCTACAAGTGATTATTTTCGTCAAAAAAAAATAAAACATTTCGTTTCGAAGGTGATAAACCTCCATTGACGTCTGAAGCTCCTTACATGCACAATCAAGGTACAGTGAGTGCACATGGCAGAAATTATTCAGCTTATAGTAAGGAATTCAATCTGAAATGTATTGATTTTGTTTTCTTTGCTCTGTACACAGCAGTATATGTGAATGATTCTAGCAGTACATCTTCTGGAGAGTTCTATGAAAACACAAAGACAGACACAGACAACATGCCACGTGTGTAGAAATATTTTTTGGTTAATTTGATACATTTGCTTACTCTTCATTAAATAGTTATTTTTATATTATCATTGAGTAGCTATTGCAGTTTTATTAATTATGTTCCTCATTTTTTAGTAGTGCTGGGAACAGATTAATCGTGATTATTCTTTCATTCATTTTCCTTCGGTTTAGTCCCTTTATTCATCATAGGTCGCAATCTTCTTGTGAGGTGACAGTGCTAACCACTGAGCCATCGTGTTGTCCTAATCGTGATTGATCAAATCCAAAATAAAAGTTTTTTTGACAATAGATGTGTGTCTATTATGTGAAGTTTATTTATAAACTAATTTCGAGAGGATGACGTGCTTATGATTGCTCACAGCTGGCCCCGCATAAGCCAATTCATGATTCATCAATCAGACAATTCCTAAGTCACCAAAAATAAGCTAAGTTCCATGCCACAGTCATCTTCCTTTTGAAGAATCCCCCCTTCCACCCCTACTTCTCTTTCTTTCCTTGATGGGTGGCACGGTGTAAAGCACTGTTGCCTCACAGCAAGAACGTCACTGGTTCTAGTCCTTACCAAGCCACTAAATGTTTTTGTTCAATTTACATTTTCTGCCCGTGCACGTGTGGAATTCCCCGGGTCCCCTGGTTTCCTTCCACCCAAAAACATGCGATTTAAGTTAATTGACTATTCAAATTGGCACCATAGACATGCTTCTAGTTAGAAGTTATCTTTTTACAGCAATTCCTAATTGTTCATAAGTAACAAACAGCAGGGGAGTCCCCGAGATCTACCTGAGCGCAAACATTTATATATTACATTACAATTATTTAAATGAGGGCGACACGGTGGGACAGTAGGTAGTGCTGTCGCTTCACAGCAAGAAGGTCGCTGGTTCGAGCCTTGGCTGGGTCAGTTGGTGTTTCTGTGTGGAGTTTGCATGTTTGTGTGGGTTTCCTCCGGGTGCTCCGGTTTCCCCCACAGTCCAAAGACATGCAGTACAGGTAAATTGGGTAGGCTAAATTGTCCGTAGTGTATGGGTGTTTACCAGAGATGGGTTGCGGATGGAAGGGCATCCGCTACTTAAAACATATGCTGGATAAATCAGCGGTTTATTCCGCTGTGTTGAGCCCAGATTATTAAAGGAACTAAATCGAAAAGAAAATGAATGAATGAATGAGATATTTAAATGTATATATAATTTGTATCAGGGCGAGGCAGTGGAGCAGTAGGTAGTGCTGTCGCCTCACAGCAAGAAGGTCGCTGGGTCGCTGGTTCGAACCTCGGCTCAGTTGGCGTTTTTGTGTGGAGTTTGCATGTTCTCCCTGCCTTCGCTTGAGTTTCCTCCGGGTGCTTCGGTTTCCCCCACAGTCCAAAGATATGCAGTACAGGTGAATTGGGTAGCTAAATTGTCCATAGTGTATGAGTGTGTGTGAATGTTTTCCAGAGATGCTGTATTCTCCTAGAGAATACTGTAAGGGCATCCGCTGCAAAAAAACTTGCTGGATAAGTTGGCGGTTCATTCCGCTGTGGCGACCCTGGGTTAATAAAGGGACTAAGCCGACAAGAAAATTAATGAATGAATAATTTGTATCATATACGATCATTCATTAATTTTTCTTCGACTTATTCTCTAATTTATCAAGGGTCCTTACAGAGGAATGAACCGGCAACTATTCCAGCATATGTTTTACATAGCAAATTAGTTAATCCAATTCACTTATGGCATATGTCTTTGGACTATGGCGGAAACCGGAGCAGCCGGAGAAAACCCACACGAACACGGGGAGAGCATGCAAATTCCTATCATATACATTTACATTTAATATCTAAATATACATTTTTTTCAAATATATGCATGCATGAGTGTATTTATATATACATAATACTTATACACAGTACACATGTCAAACAGTTACTTTTCATGCGGTTAATCACAATAAATCTTTAGCACTACTTTTGTGTTTTTGAGTTGTTTATATTATTTGAGTTACATGGTTCTGGTTTAAGTTAACAATGTATCCCTGACTTAATTTGCTATAAAATAAAACCATTACACCAAGCATCCATTAATCACAGTTAATTTACATGATTTATTAACTAAAATCAATTAAGACTGCTCAATTTTTTGTCAACATTTTAGTTAGTAAACATAGCTTTATTATCACAAGGATAAAATACTTACCCAATTCTTACCCAGTTTTAAAATACATAAAGAATGTAAAACTAATATAGATTAAACTCTTCTCAACCACTGGAAACATCTTAACATATCATCATGTGTGTATTTTTTATTGTGAATTTAAATAAAATACTAATATTTAATATCGACTCATCGTGAAGGTGCAGAGACATCATCACCACTGCTGTCTTATGATGACTGTCACTCACCACAACTGGAAAATAAAGGTAAAGCTCTGAAGAAACCTTGTAAATGTTACTTCTATTAGAGGTAATAAGTAAAACGTTTAAAATATATATGTATATGAGTCCTCTTTTGTCTATAGAAGTAGATGTGAATGATTCAAGCAGCACATCTTCTGGCGAATGCTATCAAAACACAGAGCCTGACGTGGACGACATTGCCAAGCCTTGTATGCAAAAATAATCATCAATTGGTTTACTTGACAAATTGAACATGTATAGGTACATCTACTAATATTTGACCTTTTTCCCCTCTTGAAGCAGAGAGAACACCATCATTGCTTGAAAAGACACCATATGCCTCTCTGGCTTATGGTGACCATCAGTTACCAGGCACTCACAGTGACGGTAAAGCTCTCTGCTCCCCACACACATTCCTCTCTCAACGCTCCTCTATCCTAGCCAATAAAAAGCTTAAAAAACCCTAAAACCACAAAACTCATCCAGGAGTTGTTGTCATATCAACAGGTGTGTAAGCTCAAACAAATACTCTAGAATACACGAGACTTGTCACTCGTATAGTATTAAATGGGGAAAAGTGTAACCGTCAAAATAGCAAACAAAGCCCCGCCTACTAGTACAAGAGCTAATCATTGACTGCTATAGGCAGACATTTCTTCAGGGGAGAATCTCAGACCAGATGTGTGCTTTTACTACACTTTATGTATAGTCAACAAACACACTGGAATCTCAGCGAGTACTTGCTTCACAGACATAAGAAATGTATCCAAATAAATCTTGAAATCTGTGCTTTTAAATGAACCAACTACAACTCAAAACAAAAGTTTTCTGGTTTTGTAATCTGTATGAAGCGAAGGCAAGGTACAGTCTGTCCTGTCAAATGCTCATCACATGACAGCAGCTACTAGTTAAACACCCATAAACTTGTATACAAAGAGTTGCTGTCATTTCTGGTGGAGATTCGCCAATCGCCATCAAGACCAAGTTGTGAATTACTACAGAAGACCAGCGCGATCAGAAGATCATTATCCAGAGCACAGGTGTCAATTCCAGTTCCTGGAGGGCCGCAGCTCTGCACAGTTTAGTTTCAACCCAAATTAACACTAAATTAAAACTAATTAATTTCCTCAGGATTGTTTGAGACCTAAAGGTAAATGTGTTGGAGCAGGGTTGGATCTAAACTGTGCAGAGCTGTGGCCCTCCAGGAACTGGAATTGACACCTGTGATCAGGCCCGGATTAAGAACTCAGGGGCCCCTGGGCACATTGTCTTGTAAGGCCCCCTACCTGGCCGCACCCCTATAGTTGAATTTAAAAAATAAGAATAATATAATAATTTTTAAATAAAATGAATCTATAATTTGTTGCCCACATATTTAAATAAATGATATATAGTACATATGTATTTATAGTCTGCAAAAATTTTAATTATTTTTCAAAGCATTAAATAAAAATACTAATAAAACTACATATATATATATATATATATATTATTTATTATTATTTTTTTAAAGGGTATTTTAATGTATTGCTTTTACAAACTTATAAAGCATATTATTGGCATGGCATATAACGCACAATGCTTCTCCAATCCAGTTCTATGAATCTGAGTTCTATGAATCTGAGTCTTTCATAATACAAATGGTTAATGCTAGCTACTCATCATTTAAAGTTAACGTCTTCTTCTGTACCCTCATTCCCCTGATCACGGGTCTGTTTAAAGAAGGTGTGTATGGAAAATGCCTCAATAAAGATGCCTCCTCTCCTCTTTCTCTCGCGTTTGCTAAATCCACTTGTCCACTCATTTTTGATCTATGACAGATATAACGTTACACTAAAGTCCGCTCAGTTTAGTGCGGGTTATTACAAAACTGACGTTTCCGCACTTGACCAATTACAGCATTCTGTTTAGTTAAAGAAAGAAAGGCAATTTAAATATAATAATAATATTAATGTGTGATCGCGATTTTTTTGCTCAGAGGAAATACAGTTGTCTGAGCAATATAGTTTTTGAAGAGAGGGAGGCGCGGCAGGCGCCTATAATAAGGCTAAACATTATTAAATACCCACGAGACACTTGTGACTTTATTTCACATTTGCATTATTTTTAAAAAATGTTTCTTTCCTGTTAAAAATAAATATATTTCCAATCTGATATGTAATGGGGAGAAAAAAAAGTAGCACTAGTTCAACTGATGGTAGATTCGAACCGATGTTATGATTAATCGCGTCGAAAGATGTTGCGGTGTGCCTTACAAGGTGCGCCACTGCGACTGTATTGCTTCACTGCTCTTTACTCATCTTGTCTCTATTAATCAGGCATCGATGGGCGTAAATCCTGAATAGCTTAGTCCAACTAGATGCGCTATTTGCAATTAGCCGAAAAAGACACTCCGAAATTGTCTTTTTTTCTCCCCCCTCGCAGGGGCCCCTAGTGCGCACGGGCCCCTGGGCCTGTGCCCATAAGGCCCATTGGTTAATCCGGCCCTGCCTGTGATCCAGTGGATGATAATACGTAGAACGGCCATAAATGAGGTTGGTGTCGTGATCTCGTTCCTTTCGAGTGCACATGCACATTAGCTTAGGCAACCTGAAAAATTGCTGATTTTGTTTGATTTGAACGTTAAGAATGAAACTTATGAGACAGTTATTATTGCTGATTCCAAATATGTAATGTAATCATAAGCTTGGCAAATAGTTTTAGGGAATTTGATGTTCCCCGTTCAGACTTAATGCCCAAACATACTGCCCGAGAGGCGCTTCAAAGTTGGCCGACAAGTGAAATGACTTGCCTTAAAAGGACTTTGGCTCAAATCTTCTTATGAGCAGCTTATTTCTTATAAACAGGACTAAATTGAGTCATTTCAAACATAAGCACGTACCAAGTGCTTATAGTTTCTTTAAGAGAAACTAAATTAAATCGGGGGAAAATACAATGTGGTAAATGTATTTTTATGTATATTAATAAAAAGATTTTAAAACAGTTATGTTATCTACCCTTAAAAATAAAGTTCATGGGGGTGGTTACTTTTTAAGGGTTTAAAAGAAAGCATTTCAGTTATGTTTAGTGACATATGAAAAATGTACATTTATATTTTAAAGGCACCAATTTGGACCTTTTAGATACATGAGCAAACTTTAAATATATACCACCTTAACTTTACTACAATTTCTGTGGCCAATATTATATATTACATTGTATAATATCTATACACAATGTACCATATTTTCATATTGAGAGATTTAAAAAAAAGGGAGTTGTGCATATTTAACGCTAACATCTAATATGCAAGTGCTATGATGCAGCGCAGTAGATGCTGTCTTTTGTCAAGTATTAAAATGCTTATTAGATGCTAACTTTATTTTAAAAGCCAGGTATGCCTAACGCGACGGGATTAGGAAACTTGAATGCAGTCATGTAGAAAAAGTCAGAAAAATGCTAAATACTTTTGACACATGAATGCTAATCATTACAAATCATTTAAAACAATTTCAGTTTCATTTACTACAACTTTTGCTATTTTGCACGCATGGTTGATAACTGAATATTAATCAGATGATGTCACTGCTGTATTTATGATCATGATTTTGATCTGCTAAATCATCTACGATTGTTTAAGTTAGATATGAAGAACAGACCCTATTTATGCTTTCAACACTTCCTTCAGTGCATTGTGTTGCTGTTTAAACATTAAAAACATTTAAAGTTATGAATGGTGGCGCAGTGGTTAGCTCTGTGCCCTCACAGTAAGAAGATTGCTGGTTCGAGCCTCAGCTGAATTAGTTGGCATTTCTGTGTGGAGTGCATGTTCTCCCCGTGTTTATGTGGGTTTCCTCCACAAGTCCAAAGACATACACAATAGGTGAAATGGGTAGGCTAATTTGTCCGTAGTTTTCCCAGAGATGGGTTGTGGCTGGAAGGGCATTCGCTGCGTAAAAAACTTGCTGGATAAGTTGGCGGTTCATTCCGCTGTGGCGACCCCGGATTAATAAAGGGACTAAGCCGTCAAAAAAATAAATGAATGAATGAATGAATGAATTTGTCCCTAGTGTATGTGTGCATGGGTGTTTCCCAGTGATGGGTTGCAGATGAAACGGCATCCGCTGTGTAAAACATATGCTGGATAAGTTGGTGGTTCATTCCGCTGTGAAGACCCCTGATTAATAAAGGGGAAGCTGAAAGGAAAATTAATAAATGAATGATTTTAAACGCCTCCATTATAGTAATTTATTTTCATTTCCCAGAGACTCTGTTTTACGGATCTAATATAAAGTGTATATAATATATACACAAGCAATTTTTTCAGCTCTTTATATTCACAGGTGTAAACTTTTGCCAAAAGAAAAAAAAAGTTTAATTCTTACTCCACACATGGCCCCAGTCATATTTTTGTGTGTATGAGTAAAATCTGTGCACTCAGAAAAAAAAATATATATAGAGTTTAAAGTAAAAAGGCTTCAAAACACACGCAGATGTTCTGTGAGATGTTACTTAATAGAGTATTTAATGCACAAGCTGTAAATGCCCCACCCTCTTCTGAAAAAGGGGTGTAGAGCGGCAGCTCATTTGCATTTAAAGACACTCACAAGCAGCGTGTTTTTGCATCCACCCAACTTGAAGCTTTTACTCTACATCATGATTACATTAATTATTTATGAGATGATTGAGCTCTTTGATGATTGACATCTTATAATTGGACTCCTTTACACTCTAAAATGAAAATGTACTCGCTATTTACTAAACTTTTATGAGTTCCTTTCTTGTGTTGAACACAAAAGGGGATATTTTGAAGAAAGCTGAAAACATATAACCATTGACTTCAATAGTAGGATAGTATTCATATATAATAGTAGTATTCATATATAATAGTATTCATATATTCTCTTTTGTCTTCAGCAGAGGATGTGAATGATTCAGACAGTACGTCTTCTGGCGAGTGCTATCAAAACATTGAGATCGATGCAGATAATCCCCAGAGTGGTAGGCTCACGGAAATCTTTTTACATACAAGCTGAAAAGGTGCTTTTGTTCTAAGGATTCATTCAGTGTGTTTTCTGCAGAAGACGAGGAAAGCCCATCATTTCCTGAGCTGTCAGTCGAGATTCCGCTGACAGGAAACACTGCTGGTTACAGCGGCTGTCATGTACCTGCCGCACACACTCAAGGTAACTGTTTGATTTGACAATGTGGCAATACTGAATTTTGCTACGGATATTGGATACATTCTTCTGTGCTTGGCAGATGGGAATGATACAGACAGTACTTCATCAGACGAGTGTTATCAAAACACAGAGATCGACGAAAACGCCTTTCTGCATTATGGTATAAAAAGTTAAAGTATATGGCAGTCACAAGGCCACAAGTGAAAAAATATAGATAAAAATTTAATTGTTTGACAATTACTTTCATTACATTTTCAGAATAACAACCTTAAAACAGAATTACAATATTTCTGTTCTACTTTGTTGAATTTTTTATAATATATATATATACAGTACTTTTATGGGGCAGCACAGTGGCTGAGTAGTTAGCACTCACAGAAAGCAGGTCGCTGGTTGGAATCCCAGCTGGACCAGGTAACATTTCTGTGTGGATTTTGCATGTTCTCCCCATGTCCGTGTGGGTTTACTTCCGGTGCTCCGGTTTCCCCCACAGTCCAAAAACATGCACTATAGGTGAATTGGATAGGTGATTGGAATTGGAAAATGGGCCGTAGTGTATGAGTGGTGTGTGTGTGTGTGTATGGGTGTTTCCCAGTATTGGGTTGTGGCCAGAAGGGAATCTACTGTGTAAAACATATTCTGGAATAGTTGGTGGTTCATTCCGATAATCAGAAACCAAGCCAAAGGAAAATTAATGAATGATGTACTTTTACTCAACTTTGAGACACTAAATTGATCAAAAGTATCATGAGGTGATTTGATCCTTTAGGATCATGGATCGCTTTAAAAATGCATAAACGTTAAATATTTTTTAAAAAATTGCAAATATCTTTTTTTGGCTACTTCGTTGTGATGTGAACGTAGCAACTTATAAGACATAAATGAACTCATATAGTTTATAAATAACCAGCTGCATGTTTTCTTTTCAACTTGTCTGAGCTGGCAGACACAGCATAAACCAAACTAAACAAACAAATAATACTAAAGTGAAAATTTCATCTGATGTCACCTTTTATTAATGTAATAAAATATGAATGTAATTTAATAAATTATTATTTTTAAATAAATGATGTCTGTTTCCACATCAAATGAATCAAACAGCAAAGTTGAAAAACATTAATTAATGAAAAAACATTGTTAATAATAAGAAAATCAACATTCATTCATTTTCTTGTCGGCTTAGTCCCTTTCAGCAGAATGAACCGCCAACTTATCCAGCACGTTTTTACGCAGCGGATGCCCTTCCAGCCGCAGAGAAAATCAACATATTCAAATGAATTATAATAGTTGATGTGGCACAGAAGACTATATTAACAAAAAAAATTCAGTTATGCATCACTGGATTAAGTCACATTTTAAAAAACATCAAAATAGTGATTTTAAATAGTAAAACTGTTCACAATATTACTGTCACTGCATTTTTGCATAAATTTACCCTTGTGAGCACAAGTCTTCATTCATTCTGATTTGTCAGGGGTTGCCACAGTGGAATGAACTGCCAACTTATCCAACATATGTTTTATGCAGCGGATGCCTTTCCAGCTGCAACCCAGTACTTGGAAACACCCATACACTCTCACACTCACACACCACTAATACACTATGGCCAATTTAATTTATCCAATTCACTTAGTGCATGTCTTTGGACTGAAGGGGAAAGCGGAGCATCTGGAGGAAACCCACGTGAACACAGAGTACATTGAAACTCCACACAGAAATGTCACTAGTAGGGCTGTGCGATTAATCAAAATTGAATCGCAATTTAAAACTTTGCAAATAGCTAATTGCAATGGGATGGGATTTGAAATATATTTGTATTATTTAATTTCCCATGCCCAGAGCAAATGCGTGACTGCCATCTGTGTGTGATAGTCTTACTAGCAATTGACTAATGAGTGTCTTGCTAAAAAGTCAACTGAAATATTGCCAGTGGCACTCAATCTAGTAGCAAGCAACAGCAAAGTACAATTTTAGCCATGTTAGTTTGCTGAATGTCCTGTTATTTTTTTAAATTATTTTTTTTTATAATAAGCTACACCTTCTCCCTAATTTGAGTTCAACATGTTTACAGAAAGGTAAGGTCATTTTATTTGTGTTTCCTGTTTGCTCTGGAGAACAATTAGTGTTTCATTTCTTATATTTAAAACATAAATTTGAATAAAAGTTGGAGTAAGTTGATATCTTTTCAGTTCCTTTTTTAACTAACACTCACTGTATTTTAGTATTACGATAAAGATTATTGAGCTGAAGCATGACTACAAAACTAAATCGCAAATCAAATTGAAATTGCAATATCTGTCAAAAACATTGCAACTAGATATTTTCCCCAAATCGCACAGCCCAAGTCACCAGGTCCAGCCAGGACTCAAACCAGCGACCTTCTTGCTGTGAGGTGACAGTGCTAACCACTGAGCCACTGTGCCACCAGAAAGTCTTTTCAAAAATAAAAAAAAAATGTACTAAGGTCTAACTTTTGACTATTTATTAATTTTTTTTACAATTATTATTTATTATTTTTTAAATGAAGATTTAGGTTCAGACTCAGAAACCACAGAATACACACTACTGCACTTTTTTAAACAGTCAGTAAAGGAAATATCTTAAAACTATAAAACATAACTACCGTTCACGTATCTTTTGTTTTTGTAAGGTGAGGAAAGCCCATCGCTTCCTGAGACGTCTATTCAAAATCCACACTTTGCACAGACGACAGAAAGTACAGACGGTTACAAAGACCCTGATCTACCCAGAAGCCTCAGCCAAGGTACCTCTAGCTTTTTCAGAAAACCCTTAACTCCTTTGATTCTGGATCTTTTGTGCTGCAAACTTAAAGCTAAAAGCAACCAGTGTCGATTTGGAAGAAAAACAAAAACACACTCACCCGCTTTCATTGCAGAAACAGATAACAGCAGCACAGCATCAGAGGCATCATACGTGAACGTTCCACCTAAAACACAGAGGGAGGACAATTCTGCTGATTCTTCAGATCACGATTATGATGAAGTAGAAGACTGGTAAAATCAGAGAAACAACTGCAAGAGATCTTTCCTATAGTTAAAGGGAAAACACAAACACAAAAACATTCTTTATATGATTTATTGAGTTTACTTTGTGAACATCGTGCATTTTTTATTTAGGACAGATGATCCATAACAGCACATCCCTGAAAACTGTGGAATGTAACACAGATGGGCCCTTGCAATACCTGAGCATTTCTTAAGAATATTCTGGAAGAGTTGTACTGTTCATCAGCGTTATAATAAACATTCTTATCAGTGATCAAGCAGTCTTCAACTAACTTCATACAGTTGAAGTCAGAATTATTCACCCTCCTCTGAGTTGTTTTATTTTTCAAATATTTCCCAAATGACGTTTAACAGAGCAAGGAACTTTTCACAGTAATTCTTTTAATATTTTTTCTTCTGGAGAAAGTCTAATTTGGTTTATTTGAGCTAGAATAAAAGCAGCTTTTAATTTTTAAAGAACATTTTAGGGTCAATATTAGTAGCCCCTTAAAAGGCACATATTTTACCCCTTTTTCAGGATTTAGGATGTGTCTCTAAAATGCATCTGTAAAGTTTCAGCTCAAAACACCCATAAGATTATTTATTATAGCTTTCAGAATGTTGGAATTTTTCGTGTTCTGAAGACACGGTCACAGTTTTTGTTGCCTGTGACTTTAATGCTGGTTCTCCCAGCCCACCGGTCCCTTTATGCCTGTCAGAGTGTGCCTCAATATCCGCCTCGCCTGCGTCAGATAAACAGCACAGTGACAGACAAGACAGAAGCAGATCTCATGTAACGTTTGTGAGAAATACTACAGTAAGAACTTTCCCAATGATTATTTGATGTATTTGTTGCGGAGTTAATTCAAGACTTTCTGCAAAGTGGTTACAAAGTTTATGCACACACACACACACACACACAGCGCATGCGTTTAACTTTGCACTGATTTTGCATGTTAAAATATTCTGCTGTACGGATATCCGTTATACTAATGAAATGTAAGGATTTCATTTCCTCAAACCAGGATTGAAGCGTCTTCTTTCATAATTGTACTGACATGCGGCTGTGGTGATAAAGACCGTATAATTGCTGTAATTTATTACAAACATTAAAAAACATTTTAAATTTGTAAAACTCATTCTTGATCACATTCAATGATGATTGATAATCCCAGTTTCTTTGTGCATGTTTTGTCTTGTTGATATGATTATACGCTTTACTACAGAGACATGTTAATATGTGGCGGTCAATCAATTTGGTGGGTGGGGAAACCACACTACTACGTCGCGATGGGCCTCAAAATGTGAGGGATTTGGATTTTTACGACAGGAAATTAAAAAAAGAGGCTTATAATGTTTCTATCACTCTAATATGACAGTGGACACACTATACCTAAACACAGTTCTATCCAAACAGCTTACATCATAGGTGCCCTTTAAGCAATATTTGACTGCAGAACAACTTAATTACTTTAACTTCCCAAATTAACTAACCTAATTAAGATTTAAATGTCACTTTAAGCTGAATACTAGTGTCTTGGAAAATATGTAGTAAAGTATTATTTACTGTCATTATGGCAAAGATCGGTGATTAGAAATGAGTTATTAAAACTAATATGTTTACAAATGTGTTTAAAAGAATCTTCTGCCCGTTAAACAGAAATTTAAGGAAGAAAATATACAGGAGGGCTAATAATTCTGACTTCAACTGTAAATGGAGCATTCTTTTTTACCCAATAATTCTAAATTGTGCAAAATGTTTAATATATAATATTTATTTACATTATAGCTGTTCATTTATCAAACTAATACAGCTTATATAATGTAAATCAGCCACTTTATCATTCCACAGGAAATGCAGCATAGACAAAAGTTCACACACAAACTACACTCTTAAAAGAAAGCGGTTTTGTTATCCAGCATCACAAAGTCAAAATGTCCAGCATTTCCTTGTGTGAACAGGAGAGCAGGCGTACTCTGATCAGATGAAGCAGTTTATGCTCTGTGTTTCCCACAAACCCACTTGAGCTGTGGTTGTTCTCTGAGGTGTGAGAGTGTCAGAATTGAGATCCAGCTACACTGACAGGCGTACGCACGAACACCCGCTCTCCTCCTCAGATGCACCTTCAGCTTGTGGTAATCCGGCATGTTGTTCCTGAGAAAGGTGAAACAGGAGAAAATTCTTAGGAAACATTTTTATTTTTTATTAACAGGTACATTTTCCTATATTCTGTGGTACTGTAATAAAATTTGCAATTAAATATGGATGATAATGACATAAAAACACACAAACAAACAAAAATAAACTGTTCAAATATTAAGGATTATTATATTCACATTTGTAGGACTTTTCCCCACACAACAAAAAAGCACTTTTAACCCATATTCAAACTAATTGTGATGCAGTTTCCAAGTAAAATGTGACCCTAAATACCTACAAAAAAAAAAAATAATAATAATAATAATAATAATATATATATATATATATATATATATATATATATATATATATATATATATATATATATATATATATAATATATGTATGTATGTATGTATGTATGTACATATAAAACACACTTTAATAACCCTTCAACAGACACATATCTTCTATTTTTGAAACAAATTATTTTGTTAATTCCTGAGACCGAACTTAAGCTACTTTTTAGTTTTTTATGTTTGTTTTAATGATAACTTGTACACAAAATATTAACATGCTTGCTTTTGAAAGATCAAAGAGTTTACAAGTTGTTCATATTTTGAAAACTATTTTAATATTGAGATTTATATGATTACTATTATCAATAAAAAACACATACAGTCTCTCTTTATAGAATGTGTAGTTTTTCCAATAAAAATGAATTGGATTTAAGCGCATCTTATTCAAAGTTACTGTAATGAAGTTAAACAAGAGAAAATTCTGTGGAAACATCTAGATAATTTGTTTTATTTATTTATTTATTTTTAACAAACACATTTTCCAAATTGTGCGGTATTATAAGGCAAATAAAAAATGAAATGCCATGAAATATGGGTGATAGACAAGAAGAAAAAAAAAAACACACTGTTCATTTGTTAATGATCGTTTGATTCAAATTTTTAGGACTATTTTCCACAACAAAAAAGCACTTTTAATCAATATTCAAACTAATTGTGATGCAGTCTCCAAGTAAAATATGACCTTAAATACTTACAAAAGTATTGTTTATATATAAAAAAAGAAAAGACATTTTATTTTTTTAGTATTACTGCCAGTACAATAACCCCTCAACAGACACAATCTTTATTTTTGAAACAAATACTATTGTTAAATTCCAATCTTAAACTACTTTTCAGTTTTTGTTGTTGTTTGTTTTAATACTGGTGACTTATGCAGAGAAGGTCAACAATGCCTGATATTTTAAAGATCAAAGAGTTTTAAAATTGGGTTCATATTTTAAAGACTATTTTAATATGGAGATTTATACAATTACTATTAATAAAAAAACATGACATTTCTGTCATGTAAGAGTAGATATTTTTATTATAGAAATTCCTTAGACTTAAATACATCCATATTCAGAATTACTATAATGTAGATTTGAAAAATATTATCTGAATTTAATCTAATATAAATATGAATATAACTATGTACAAATTTATTTGTGTATTTGATGGCTATGTTATCATTCAGAATTTCTGTAATAATAATGATTCAGTAACATACAATAAATTCATATTCTTATAAGTTTTTTAATATAATGTTGCTTATTCTTAATGGACATTTTTATCTTTCAGATGACTTTCACACACAATAAAGCTCATATTCTGAATTTCTATAATGCAGTTTTAGGGTGAACTGTAAACTGCAATACAGCAGAATCTTTGTGTGCGTGCGTGTGAGTGTGTGTGTGTGTGTGTGTGTGTGTGTACATTAAAAATTAAATACATGACAAGGCCCACAAGGAAAAAAAATCTGCATATTTTAGCCCATCATTAAATCTATTTATTTACTTGTGTAAATATATGTTTATTTAGTTTTAAAATTAATTTTAGTAATATTGCTGACTAATATGAACATGTTCATATGACTAATTTACAATACAGTTTGTTAAGTATTATTTTCTGTCTTTTAGCAGATATATTACAGCATATGAGAGACCTGCTTTGTTTACCATATGAGTGAATCTAATTGGATTTGCATTGTAAACATTAAATAAAATCTAAAAAGGTATTTTTTTATTTCATATATTATGATTTTAGTTATAATACTCTCAAAATCATTCCACAATATTACTTACATTATTTTTTTTTACTCTAATCTCAGCAGAAATAGCAAAAAAATGTCCGCAGATTCTATCTGGCCCAATACATGACCTAATGAACATGTCATTTAAAAGTTTCGTTTTCAAGCTATCTTAATATACTTGGAGTTTTAATATTCGAGTTTTAATATTTTGCACACAATCTGCACCTATATAAATGCTATTTTGAACACATAACAGAAGTAAAATGACTCCAACAAACAAATATAGAATTTGTGAAATGAACAGATGGTTTGTGGATGAACTGATTTCTCACTTGTTTATATAAGAGGACTCCTGAAGTTAAAGTTTATAAAGCCTCAGTGACAAACTCCATCCACATGCTCTCCTGATTAAAGCTGAAGATGTGGTAAAAGCAAGATCATTAAAACACAAAGAGCCTTTATGCTATGTTTATGTGCTCTGCGGTGTCTGAACATGCAGCAAAGTGCATCATGGCCTAAATACACAAGATGACAACATAAAAGACATGGTGCTGATGACTCGCTGACTGTTTGATGATTAAATTGAGCGAGAAGCTTTAACACAAAGCGCTGGAGATAATAAGGAAAAGACGCAGTCTGTCGGAAGACACAGTTAAAAACAGCGGCTTAAACGTTGTTTGAAAATGTTTCTTTATCAACCAGACTTAACATTTATTAAGTTTATCTGGAAGAGGGTGACATGATAACTTGAACAAAGCCATTATTAAATGGCATGTCGATGTTTGCTGAAATGTGTGAGGCGGTTTGAAGTAATTATGAATTGTAAGCAACAAACTGATATGGTGGGATATATGGATCAATGCTGCCCCCTTCTGATCAAATGATGCTCATTTCTTGTGTGTTTGCTGGTTTCTTTACCTGAAAAATAAATAGTCACAGGACGAGTCCCATTCATGATCATCAAAGGTGATTACGCTGAAGTCGCAATATGTACATCTTAATCGATTGCAGGCCCTTTGAAAAGGAGAGAGTTCTGGTTAGGAATCACAGTTCAAAATACATCTGTATATTTAAGTTTATCTGTGGATCGTTAGGTTTATCATGACTGGATAGTTAGGTCAGTCTATTGTCTATTTGCATTGCAGTTTTTTTTTTCTCTTCCCTACATACAGCATTACAGTTATGGAAATTAATATAACCTAACATACAATGTTTATATATATATATATATATATATATATATATATATATATATATATATATATATATATATATATTTTTTTTTTTTTTTAAGAATATATCATTACTTGGATTATTGTTTTTTTTTTCAAAGTAAAGCAATTGTGGAGTAAATTAAATCAAAAATACAGAATCAAGCAATAATTACATAAAATGGTGTACGTAGAAAAGTAAGAATGCTTAAGCACATTTCTCTCCCATTTTAGGCTCCTGTAATTCAGTTTTGTATTAATACAAAATATTTGTAAAAATCAGTAAAATTTTAATTTTTTGTTTTAATAGTTTTATTACTTTATTAATACAACTTATTATAAAGCTGTATTAACTATATATAAACTATGTTAGTTTATAAACCATATATAAATAATTATTTTAATCCCTAATATTCACAGTTACTCCATTTTGAAGCAAAAATACCACCTCAGTAGTATTTTACATCGTTATAATGTAAACAGTATCTATGTATTATGCAGTTATAAATAATGTAAACATCAGACAGGTTGAAAAATATAAGTATTTGGGTGTAATAATAGACAACAAGGCTTCATGGAAAGATCATATTGATAGTGTGTGTGTGTGTGTGTATAACAAGATAGATCTTTTGGAGCATCAAAAACAATTCTTGAACATTATTTTATGTCTGTACTAATGAGTGTTCTGCAGTATTGCAATTCTGTAAGGTATATGAGACTGTCTGTGAATGTATAAACAAAGTTGATGAACCAGATTAAAATCTGTTCAAAGATGGTAGGAAAGGTCCTTGAGAAATTATATCATTGATCATATAAGGTTGGCAAGGAACATTATTTCGAACTCTAGTCGTGTTGAATCATGAATTTATACAATTAAAATCTAACTGTCGATTTAGAGTGCCAAAGTTTAATAAAGTGAAAAGAAAAACTTATTTGTACATCAGGCTCTTTTGGAGCTGTCTTTTTTTGCTGTTATTTAAGAAAAAAATTACATCCATGTCTGACCATAAAGTTTTGTATTGTATTAATAATAAAAAACTTTAACTATATTTTATTTGAGAGTTTTTGAAAAATGATACTGGTTGATATTACTGGATATTGTTTATATATGCATATGTCTGTAGTTTTCACCTTTCGGAAACGCTGGTTCCAATGCCGTGTGCAACAGAGCTTCCACCAAGAAACACAGGGCAACATCTGTGGGGAGAATACATTTACATCTTGAATGCAACAGCACTTATGTTTGAAAGGCATTTTTTCTATCTATAGGCATGCTTGGATGTTTTCAAAACAAAAACGTACTTCTTGGAGATTGTCTGAGCACTTGAGGATGCCTTTGCTGGACTGGGTTCCTGTTTGGTTCATAAAAGATTTTACAGCTGATTAATGGAGAAATGGGCACCATTAACAATTGGTTTATTAAATCAATGTTATTTGAAAAGTATTTTATTCAGTATTAATGACAAGGTTTTGTCTGGTCATTTGGCTTACATGTGTGCTGGTTGGTGTATCAACATCATCATCCAGTATTTCATGCAGCATAGCGTCAATATCTATCTCATTTTCAACTCTTTTACGTCCTTGTTTTCTGGTAACAGTGGAAATAAAATTCGATATGTTAATATTGTGTCTTGATCTTCCCTAGGGACCAGCATTAAAGATGTATGAATCAGGCTCGTGTTATCAGATGTTAGCCACTATGCACTGTCTAATTCTTATATTTGAGGTAATAACATAATTTGGCATCTTAGTTACACTAATACTAATTAACACTGAGCCTTAAAGCTGCGTTTACATTGTATCAAACGTGCTTCTTTATTGCACTAACGTTAGTCTGACATAATTAGCCACGTTAGCTCTGGTTGCTAATCTTGCTAGCCTACTACCTTGGCAGTTTCCTTTCTTCGAGATTGTCACACTTTTGATCCGTATGTTTCATAACACGGCTTGTCTGTTTAGACTCCGAAGTGTTGCAACAAAACTTTGATTCGACTTCATCAAGTAAATCGTCCAAATCATCCGCCATGATTGTCCGATGGAGAACGCCACGTCCGTTACCATGGAAACGTGTGGATTTTATTTTTGTTATCGGTTCAGAAAGGCATCATAAAATTAATGACATACTCGATCAGAATTCAAAATAGTGTCCCGGTAAACACATAATCGTGTTCTCTCAAAGGACACGAGACTTCCGGGTTGTTGTGGGTGTAAGTTCTAGAAGGAAAACGATTCGTTGTCGGCAGGATTCGAACCTGCGCGGGGAGACCCCAATGGATTTCTAGTCCATCGCCTTAACCACTCGGCCACGACAACTGATGATTTACACAGACCGTCTACAGTTTTTAAACACCAACATAGCGTCTGAGGATAAGGCGACCGAGGCATATAGATTGCAATTCAGGCGCATTTTCTCTTATAACTTCTGATTTTTATAACGTCTAACGTTAACTTAACGTTAAGTTATGAAAACGCACGTTTTGTTCATTTAAAACAATGACACAAAAGAAAATGCAATCGACTGGGATATTTTTTCACACTGACTAAACTGAGAAAATAAGATTCACTGACAAATTCTCGCCAGCAGGTGGCAACAAATGATCACATTAAAAATGCGCGTGAACTGTGCTAACGTACGTCAAAAGCTCGCTCGACGAGCTTTCAGGTCCACTCCAGACAAAAACGTAAACCTTTAAGCTGACGAGATAAGTAAAATTCCACATTGTTTCAGTGCAGACATGAAAGCATTAACACATATAAGACTTTGAAGTATTTAATGGTCAAAAATTGTTCTGCAATAAGCTCCAAATGTTTTATTTTTGCTAACTCGCGGGTTACCAGTTGAGAAACATCAGATACGCATGCTTCGTGCTTACCATGATAAAGTGACATCTGATAAATTCATTTTGCTTAGTTGTTCGTGAGACGTATTATTGAAAGTCCTCCGTGAACGATCTAACAAGTGAAAAAAACAATGTGTTCCCTGACCGGGAATCGAACCCGGGCCGCGGCGGTGAGAGCGCCGAATCCTAACCACTAGACCACCAGGGACTGTGAGTACTCTACTTGCAGACCGATATACAAGTATGCATACTGCGTATGAACTCAATAGTGCGCACTTCAAGAACACGCTACTAGTTAAAAGACCCGTGAAGACATCCATACTCTGCCACCGTAAAAGGCGAGGATGTTTGCTAACAGACGTGGCTTGAAGCAATAAAGTAAATATTACTGCAGGGGTGAATATAAGCCTGCAATTAAAGGTTACAGAGATGTAAAATAATTTAATTTAATCATTTGCCAACACAAAACCGCTCCCCTAACTCGATACACAAAACAAATACACCAGTTTTCACATCGCATCCATTAATCGACTTTTTTCTAGTTTAACTACCCCGAAACCTTAACCCTATATTATAACTATATTGTTGTGCGTATCTGCAGCTGTATCCTATCTACACTTTACCATAGTTTAACTTGGGCTGCGTCCGAAACCGCATACTTCCATACTATATAGTACGCTAAAAGCAGTATGCGAGCCGACTCAGCCGAGTAGTATGTCCGAATTCATAGAATTCGAAAATCAGTATGCGAGAAGTACCCGGATGACTTACTACTTCCGGCAAGATTCTAGAGTGCGCATCCCATGCATGCTGCACTATCCCATAATGCCCCGCGAGCGAATTCAAGAATGGGAGTAAAGTGATGCAATTGATGCAGGTAGGTCACGTGACCATGACAAAATTGCGGATGTAGTATGTCCGAATTCCATTCATACTTTTGTATGTTTAAATTCAAATGCAGTACCTACTGAGTAGTAGGCGGTTTCGGACGCAGCCTTGGAGTATGCACCTCATGGTCACAAAAGCCAACTCTACGTATAAGTTATGAAACATTGGTTTCTTAAAAGTAAAATTGTATAAGCCATTGACTAACATTTGTATATCCAATTTTCCACCAAATACCATTGTTAGACCTTTTTTTCCAACCTTTTTTTGCCTGTGACCCCTTTTCCAACAGACAATATTGGCGCAAATATTGCACTGTGGCTGGGTCAGGCACTCTTTGGTTTGAGAAAATGGAATAAAACCATAGTTCAGGGAACTATCTTGGTATTTCCAGAATTTCGTGTATTGCTAGGACTGCGACTCAAAGTGCTTGGAACTTCCTCACTTGGTCATTGCTATTAGCTGTTGAAGGCGAATCAGTAAGACATTTTTTTTTTTGTGGAGGATAAATTACAAATGTGTTGTTTTGGTCAGCAGGGGACAAAATAAACTTTGAAGGCAACATGATTGTTCTCCTAATTGTCCACTGCTAATTTTCTTTTTAATATGACGCGACCCCCCACAGAGCTCTCTGAGGCCCCCTTGTGGGCTGGGACCCCCTTGTTGAAAACCACTGGGTAAGACTACTTGGGTAGCGAACACTAACTTCTAAAGATAAGAAATTCACCCAAAACAATTGGGAAAAAACAGCTCTTATCATTTTATTATGAGACGGTAAAAACATTAACCTTAAAAAGTCAATAATAATTTATTGCACAGTAGTTATGAACAAAGTAATCAATAAAAAATAACGTAGATAATGTTGATCATGAGTGAATAGGTCTGCGAAATTTACTCTGTAGAAAGACTCGGGGAACACACAGACCCTCTTTTTTATTCACTGTTTCTCTCAGCACATATTCATTCACTAGAGTCTCAAATCCTGCGTTTTGGAATAAACCAGCCAAGTACTCTAGAAGAAGAACAGAAAAATAAAAAAACAGATCAGTTCAGCATAGTATTACAGATACAGACAATCAAGGACTTGCACTGACCTCTTGAAAAGAAAAAGGAACGGGTGCCATCCTGTCTTACATAGAAATTTTCACCCAGCTTATTGCCCGACTTAAACCTCAACATGGCATGATCATATAGTCCATAATCCCTGAAGAGAACAATACCTCCAGGTCTTAATACCTGTGATTTAAAACAGTAAAAATATTACTGACTGGACATTTGCTTGGTTTTACAGCAGAAATAACAAAGAAATAACCATTAGAGATAAGGCAACGTGTGCTAAATAAACAGTTCATGGCACGCACTGTCAGAATTCAGAAATGTGATCAGCAGTACCTTATAAATTTGTTCCAGAGATTTCTGCATCTTGTCAGGATGAATTGCAGACAGAACAAATATCAATGTTGCAACATCCACTGTTTCAACCTGTATGTTGGCCTGAAGATCATCTTTAGTGAGGTCACACTGAAACGCAAGGCATCTCTCGGTGCAATACAAGGCATTTTTCTGCAATAATGAATAATCATTTACATTTACTCATGTGGCAGACACTTTTTATCCAAAGCAACTTACAAATGAGGACAATACAAGCAATACTGGTTTATGTAAATCAGTAAGAATATTTTTCAAATATTTTCCGAGAGCTGTTTAACACATTTTTAAACATAATAATTTTAATACCTCATCTCATTACTGATAACTAATATTCTTTGTCTTTGCTATGATGACAGTAGATATTTTTTCCAGCTGTTTTGAAAGATACCAGTATTCAACTTAACGTGCAATTAAAAGGCTTAACTACAATAATTAGGCCAGTTATTAGATAACTGTAGTCAGTTCTGGTGCGGCTAGTATTATTGACATATTTGCGCTACATTGTGGACTCATGGGTGTGCTGGACTAAAAACGAGGTGTGTTAAGGTACATTGTTGGTGCGTGGCTATTTTGAAGAACTGAAATAGAACTGTAACTGTGCAGTTAACCAGGTAAAAGCTGGTCTAAAGTTCAGCACAGAGCGCATTAGTTATGCGCCTCTGCAGGTTCAAGCACTTAATATATACAAGATGTACAGAAATACACAAATGTCATTACATATGGGAAAAAATAAAGGATTAAAATGTTACAAACATTCCTATCTACTACATAAAGGACAAAACACTACCTTCATGCCTTTTTTATGCCCTGGGGGCTTTTTTCAGTTTATTCATGACAATTAGCATTTTTTAAATATTATTATTATCAGCAGGATTATTTTATACATGCATATTTATATTTGTTTTACAAAAAAAAAAAGTTTAGATTTGTCTATCTGTCGGGTTTTGGAGACATACGCATCACCATATGGGGCATAAGAATGGGACGTGTGTTTGGATATAACTCATTATTATTGTTCGTTTATTCTTTTGCTGGAAATTACAACTAAATTTACAAATAGTTTTGAAGCTAATCTTTGCGCTTAACAAACAAAATGAAATATGTAGGCTAATGGATGTCTTCAGTGTGGTGAGTTTCCTCAATTTCCATATCCTTGAAAGTAAAGGAGTAAAGAGGTAAGGTAAAGAGAAAGTAAAGAGGCTAAATGGAGGAGGCTCGGTCTTTATCCTTGCACAGCAGATGGTCTGTTTAACTGTTTTCTCACTAGTGAAGCATTCAGTTTTTCAACCTAAAACATCTGCCATGTAAATAGCAAATGCGCCATGACGCAACACAACTGACTCTTAAAGGGAATGAGAGATAAGACTCTAATTGGTTTAATACGTTTAGCTCAAAACACATCCATAACTCATTAAGAGAATAAGCACAACCCTGTTAGACCATGAGATGCGGCTCAAACCATATTTTTCTGTCCTTAAAATAGCAAAAGTTGATTTGGACACACCATTAATGCTTTTGCACCATGCACTTTAGACTTTGCACACAGACTGTTAAAATAGAGCCTTACATGTATGCTTACTTTAAAAAAAAAATTAATCTGCTTTTATTCCAGTCAAAAAAAAAAAAAATCTCTCATTTCTCAAACTGAAAAATTGCTCTGTTAAACAGCACTGGGGAAATATATATAAAAAAAAAACTTAAAAATATATATAAAAAATATAAAGTTGAGAAACTTATTATTATTATTACTTATGATTATTATATTTTTTTAATAGAACTTAAAACAGAAAAGCAAATACTGTGTTCAAAGTGTAAGTGAACACAAATGCATACCGTATTACACTGTATCAAACCACTCAGTAGAAACGGACCATTAGAGGATCATATCAAAACAAATTTATATATATATATATATATATAAACGTAGAGCCTATATCTATAGAAAATAGAGTAGAACAGTGTTCATAATAGACACTCAGAGCAAATGGTTTATTAAAATAAAAATAAATAGAAAAGAAATAATAGGATGTGTTATAGTGCATCATCTGTATGATTATATAGATTTCTGCAATATATTATAATTAAATAGATTCTTTGAATAATTATATAATTAACAATAAATTGACAGTTCATACAAATCAATGAGCTTATGAATAGGAAACAATATTGTTTGCAAAAGGTTGACCAGTTAACACACTTCTGGTCATGTTTAACGTTACCTTTACAAACTCAACAGCTCGTGGAGAGAAATCACAGGCATAGATGAAGATGTTGAGATCCTCTTCCAGAAGGGGAAAAATACAGTTTCCAACCCCACATCCAGCCTCCAACAACACCAACTTCTGTCCCTCAGACTGAAAATATAAGAGTTCCAATTATCCATACACACTCAAACACGTTAACGTTACAGAAAAAGGGTGTTTAAGACCCTTTAACGTTACCTCTCTGCAGTTTTTCAGTTCATCAAACTCCCGGGTCGTCCAGTGTCTGTCTTTAAAGAAGTTAGTCGTGTTTCTCTTATAAAATAAGTCCCAGTTTTTCTGAGCATCCGTTTCGAGTTTTTGCTGCTTGAAGTGGGACACTAAAACTCGGTCATTGCCGAGTTTCTCCATCTCTTCAGGTGTCAGACTCCTTTCCCTCACAACGGTGGACTGAGGCGGGAAAACAGGACGATATTCGAGTGAGACTGACTCACCTGATGCCGACATGTTTGCCTGAGCTCCTGGTTTTGATTATTAATATCAAAGCAACTTCTTAAAATCGGATAATGTGAAGGTAACGTTATGGGATCAAAGTCTCAGTGACTTACTTTATGTTTGATAAAAATCGCAGCTGAAACTCGACCAAGAAGTAGTTTCAGGTTCTTAAATGTACTTAATCTACCTACACATTAAATGAGTAATATCGTTAAACATATAATATTGTATGTTTTCATCTTAAAATAAAGAGCTAACTGTTTGAAATTTTCGCATGTTGACGGCTGGGATTCTGTCTTGCTCTAGTATTTGCGACTGCGCGGAGATGAAGGAAGGAACTTGAAGATAACCGTCACCGCCATCTGCTGGACTGGAGACCACGACGACAAATGTTTCAGCTAATAAAACTTGACTTCTTGACGAACGTTTGTGGAATGGATACAATAAAAGCACTTTTCTTAGAGGTCTTAACAGTGATGTGCTGGACAGGATTCAGCAATTAGTTTAGTGTAATGTTACGTGGGGACAAAGCATTTCAAATTGGTGGTATCATTCTAAAGAAATCCACGAGGTAAGTATACTTCAGAAAACACGTAGAAATTACAAAAAAGTAATAAACATGAACCAGTTTCTTTTGTAATTAATTATATTCATTTTTTGTAATTTTATGTACTGTTATAACTCATACAATGATAAATGCTAATTGATTGAATGTTATGAATAACTTACATGTGTACTATCTATCTATCTATCTATCTATCTATCTATCTATCTATCTATCTATCTATCTATCTGTCTGTCTGTCTGTCTGTCTGTCTGTCTGTCTGTCTGTCTGTCTGTCTGTCTGTCTGTCTGTCTGTCTGTCCGTCCGTCCGTCCGTCCGTCCGTCCGTCCGTAAATCAATCAATCAATCAATCAATCAATCAATCAATCAATCAATCAATCAATCAATCCATCCATCCATCCATCCATCCATCCATCCATCCATCCAAATAATGAAATATTCTGATTCTGAATGTGTTCTCTGTCTGTCTGTCTGTCTGTCTGTCTGTCCGTCCAAGCAAATAATTGAATATTATGAATATGCGTACTCTCTATCTATCTATCTATCTATCTATCTATCTATCTATCTATCTATCTATCTATCTATCTATCTATCTATCTATCTATCTATCTATCTGTCTGTCTGTCTGTCTGTCTGTCTGTCTGTCTGTCTGTCTGTCTGTCTATCTATCTATCATCGTCTGTCTGTCTGTCTGTCTGTCTGTTCATCCATCCATACATGCATCCAAATGATTGAATATGAATTTGTAGGGTAACACAGTGGCGCAGTAGTGCTGTCGCCTCACAGCAAGAAGGTCGCTGGTTCGAGCCCTGGCTGAGTCAGCTGTGTTGGCGTGGGTTTCCTCTGGGTGCTCCGGTTTCCCCTACAATCCAAAGACATGCGGTACAGGTGAATTGGGTTGGCTAAATTGTCAAAAAAATGAATGATGAATGTGTACTATATCTGTCTGTCCGTCCAAGCAAGCGAATAATTGAATATTATGAATATGCATACTATCTATCTATCTATCTATCTATCTATCTATCTATCTATCTATCTATCTATCTATCTATCTATCTATCTATCTATCTATCTATCTATCTATGTCTGCTTGTTACTGTCATTAAATGTGGATAAATGATAACTTACAGAGCACCGCAGATTTGCATCTTGCAATAGTGTTACGTACAGCCAAATATTTATGGCTGAGCTACCGTTTGTTGTATATTTGTGCTTGCCAAGACAATAAATTACAAATGAATACAAACTTGGTATTTGTTTATTTGACATACAGGTGCTTTTGATTTCTGGTCAGATGGCTTCGATGGAAAGCTCGGATCCTGTTTATACAGACAGGCAAATCAACACTTTGTTTGGAGAGAGAATGGAACGAAAAGTTAATACACTGTTGCGGCGAAGATTGTTGTCGCTCATCCAGTATGAAGAAAGCCAGTTCATACACCCATCCACATGCAGTCTCAGGCTGTCCGTGGCGACGGTAAGCATGCTCATTTAATTTTAATTTACTCAACCCCCGCCCTCCTCCAAAAAAATACAGACGTTTATACAAAAACTCTACTTTAATGTCTTAAAAACCTACATTCAAACCACGATGCAGTGCTGTACCTGGACCCCGTTTAAAAAAATAAACCATTCCACGGATCTTAGGACATTCCTGGCCCCTGTTACACAGTTCAGCCTCAATCCAGCACCAGACGGGGCCCGAGGGGGTGAAGGTCCTCACTGTCTGCAATGCGCCCCTCTCTCATGTGCATATACAGTATACGTTTAAATTATACAGGTAGCAGCAACACCCCCTCGGCGAGGGGATAAGAGGGTGAGGGGGTGACATGGACTGATAGAGGAAAGAAAGGCAGAGGAGCAATGAGGAGCAGCATCTGTCTATACTGTTCCAGCGTCTCTGCTCTGGTCCCTGCGGCGGCGCTGTTCTGTTTTGTTCCTGCTTTCGGATTCCTCTCGGTCGATTGTCTCCTTCTCTCGTTCCCTCTTCCTCTCTCGACGGGCCTCTGCAGTCACTTTCTCTTGCAGGTTAAAGCGTTTTTTCTTCTCTCCTCGCCGCTGGCCTTTCGGCGGCTTACCTGTGGAGGACAAATGAGGAATAGCATGAGATATTTTAAAGGATATACTTGGGCAATTTTTATTCATTAATGAACCGAAAAATGGGCTCACTTGGAAAAGTTATTGTTAATAACATATTTTTACTTATTTTAAAATGATAAATTACTGCTGTTATTCAGCAAGGTGAAAACCATAAACATAATACTACATTTCTGTTTTAAATAAATGCTGTTCTGATCTGGTGTAAAAATATTATGGTTTCCACAAAATATTTACAACATTTACAATGTTTCTTTCAGCATCAAATCAGCAGCGCCAACCTAATTTCACCAAGAGGGACAGGTTTCATGGATTGACATGTTGATTCTGGAAAAACATTCCAATCAGCCAATCAGAATTAAGGGATCTGTTCATCTTTTATGTTAAGTGTAGGCTCACGGTTAGGTTTATGCACTTCTACATGATTGTCATCCATTAACTATTATTCCACTCTTATTTTGGGATTAATATACAGTTATGGTTGGGGCTAGGGAACAGGTATTGATTACATTACATAGATATTAATCCAGAATCACATTGTACTTGGCAACATCATGACATGCAGCATATTAGTTTTTTACCAACCATGTTACACTAAAGACTGGAATAATGATATTGAATATTCAGCTTTGCCACTAAAATAATAAAATTACACATTTTCAAAAATGTATCTAGACAGAAAACATTTGGCACTGCTAACATATTTGACAATTCTACTGTTATTACTGGTTATTTTGATCAAATAAACAGTGTTTTACCTAACATAAATGACGTCTTACCGACTGACCGTCAACATCCATCATAAACAACTTACACATTAACACTCACGTCTTGATTTGTGTTTAAAAGAAACAGTCGGGATGTTTAGGAGTGATGTTTTTTAGCGCCGCAGTGTTTACACTTTTCGGGAAAATGACTTACAGTGTCTGCACATTAATCTGGGATAAGAGAAAGTGCTGTAACCAGATAAAGTACACACACAATACGAGCGGTCAGAGTTTGGCAGGAATCGGGGCTGATTTATTCCCTGTGCAGGCGTGTTGAATCATCCTATCATTGTATTAATCAGACTTTAGTGATTTTCCCATCATCCCTCATCTCTCTCCCGCTCCAGATGGCATTACTCATTCACCCTAAGATGACCATTGTTCTTCATTTTGGGCTGTTTTGCTTGGGAGACGTCCCTTCAGCAGTCATCACCTCCATTTAAAAGTATTCTCCATAGATTATTAAGGGTTTGATGGAGGCCAGGTTGAGGACACATTTATAAAGTTGTGAAACAGCAGAACCATCTGCTGTGTTGTGTGAGTGCTAGTGTCTGGTCTGGACCACAAGATGACAGTCTTGTACAACAACTGTTTCCATTTTGTTTTTCTCTCTTTCGCACTGTCACATTGTCAAAGGTTAGTTGATATGAGGGACTCTTAGAAATGAAGCTGTAAAATAGATTTTTTTCATGCCAATATTTTCTTCTCCACTGTAAAAAAATAAGAGTTTGCTTTTTATAAGCGAAATTAAGTCTTTTCAACTTCTATTACATCATACTGACCTCAAACATTAAGTTAAGAAGTAAATATATATTTATACACAAACATACATACATACATACATACATACAGGGATGGGCAGTATTTATGATACAATATTTTAAATTTGCATTTTAAATTCAAAATTGTATTTTGTAATTTGTATTTGATAGGGTTAATAAAAATGGCTTAATATTTTGCATCAAAATACTTTATTGCCTTGTATTTTTGTATTTTTAAAATACTGTAAAATACTGTGTAAGACGTCTACAGGATGACATCATAAAAATCTGGCGTAATAGCGTAATAATAGCTGTGTTTTCTCAGTTATTTGCTACAAAATTAATTAATAATACAGTTGATCATTTCTTGGAGTATGGATGGAAATTATGCATGATATATAAAGAAAATTACAGACAAATACCTGGGGTAGATTCAGGAGCAAGTCAAAATAAGACAGGAAAATAAGACAAACAACATAAAAAAAATCCTACACTGGCGATACCTACAAAACTTCATTAGCTGTTTTAAATGCCAGTTGCTAATCTGCAGATGCTCTTTATACGTAGTTGATTACAAACTTTGACATTAATCAGTATGATAAAAAAATATTTAATAATACTCAGTCTACACACCGGTCAAAAACTCCCAACTCAGGTTTTATGAAAGCAAAAACAGATAGTTTACATTTTTTAGATATCGTGTTTTATATTGTGTATTAAAACATACAATTGCAAAAAAAACAAAAAAAAAAACAGAAATTTTGGAAATGACTAAAACTGGAGATTTTAATAGTTTCCAGAAATCGTGATTTTAAATTAAAGATTTCAATTGCAAAAAAAACACCAATTGATGGAAGTGAAGGAAAATACCTTGAGAGAAACCAGGCTCAGCCGGGCATAAAGTGCTTCTTTTTGGTGCTGATATACTATCAATGATACTGGACAGTAGCACTGTGACAGTCTATAGTTCATATTATGCTCAATCGTTTATTTTGTGGTGTCACAAAATACATTGTTTATGGTAATACTACTTTATAATATATATGAGAGCAATATTACATGCCATTACTGGGATGCAGACAGAAACATGAATAACAACATCGTGAGAAAGTTGCAATCTTGACAGTACATTGTTTAGATTTAGCATTTTATTTAGCATTATTTTTTATTTTTACGTAGGACCTGCAATCATTATTTTTTGAAAATATTATTTATGAATAATTATTTTGTGTTTCTACAATTTAATCAAATATTTGTCTTAAAGTTCTAAATAATTAATGATCATGTATGGATAAGTACAGGGGGATATGGTGGCTCAGTAGTTAGCACTGTCCTGGCTGGGTCAGTTGGCGTTTCTGTGTGGAGTTTGCATGTTCTCCCCCTGTTTGCGTGGGTTTTCTCCAGGTGCTCCGGTTTCCCCCACAGTCCAAAGACATGTATGTTTGTGAATGAGTGTGTATGGATGTTTCCCAGTTCTGGGGTGAAGCTGGAAGGGCATTCGCTATGTAATCATACGTTGGATAAGTTGGCGGTTAATTCCACTGTGGCAACCCCTAATGAGTAAAGGGACTAAGACGAAGGGAAATGAATGCATAAACGAAAATAACCATAGTCTATGTGTGTGTGTATGGATGTTTCCCAGTTCTAGGTTGCTGTTGGAAGGGCATCCGCTGTGTAAAACATATGCTGGATAAGTTGGTGGTTCATTCTGCTGTGGCAACCCCTGATGAATACAGGGACTGAGCCAAAGGAAAATAAAGGAAAAAGTAAATTTCTGAGTTTATACTTCAAAATATTTCTTTACTTGTGGTCAATACATATCAGCTAATGATTGATTGAATTGACAGAAATGTGATATATATATATTGTTATCAGTATATGAGATTACATAATGATATGACATTTTTGTCAGATTGCACAGCCCTATTGTAAAGAAATTCCAAAGTAACAGCATGAGAGTGAGGACATTGTAACAGCATTATCATTTGTGGCTGAACTAAACACTGAAAATGCTTAAATGTGGGGCCGACCCATCAACTGCAGAGTGCGAGAACTTTATCACCATTGTGTTCTTGAGCAACGGCTCCATTTTCTTCCAGGAACACAATTCCTGCAGTTACCGTACAGTACGTCTCTTTGGAATAAAACTGTCAAGATGAGCAACCAAGGTGAAGCCGGCCAGCTGAACATTTGACACCAGAAAAAGCCAACGCTCGATAAGCTCATCAAAAATAGAAAGACTTAAAATACGAATTCTGGTAATGTTACTTCATCTCGCCGTTGCTCAACACTCACGTCTAGCCAATTTCCATTATTGTCAGAGGCTTATCGGTGGGGCACGGATGAGGATTGGAAAAGTGCTGAGGTGGACAGCCACCTCTCCCCCGCTTCTCCCCCCCAGAGCAAGCTCTATTAATCATCTCTCCGGACTTGCTGCCCGCTGCAACCCACACATTCCTGGGGTCCAGCCAGGGTGACAGGGGGCCACGGCAGCCCCGAAATAAGCAGGCCCATGACTCTTGTTTTGTGACTCAAATGAGTTCATCCTCGAGCCTGTTGTGATTGTACTGTGGATTCTAAACAGGCTGACTCACGAACGGTGTCTGACCGGTCAAAACATACACACACACACACACACACACACATTTCACAGGCTGTCGTCACCTCCCCTCTCGCTGTCCCGTCTCTTTAAACACAGGAAGTTCCCTCCACACACACTGTTGTCTTTGCAGTAATGATTTGGAGATCAATGGATTAGGTGTAATCCTCTGCCTTTCCCATAAACCAAGGCGTAACATGACCAGAGCATTGTTGCAATTATTATGGATATGTTTACAGACACCTTTTTTATTTAATCAGTTTTTGCTTTTTCTAGAAATAAAGTTCACAACTTTATAATTGCTAGTGGCATGCAGGGGGGGGGGGATTTTAGAATTTTTGCTACCACCAACCATATGAACGTCCAATGACAAGGAATAAAGTAACAGCAAAAGATTTCAATTTAAAGAAATAATTCACCCAAAAATATAAATTCTGTGATCATTTACTGTCCTTTCCCTTGTCAAAAACCTGTTTGAGTTCTGTTGAACAGATATTTAGAAATAAGATAAAAATCTATAACCATCGACATCCATATTAGGGCTGGGCGATGTCGACCAATTTGCCAGCGTATGATGTCTCATGTAAAACTTTGCGATGGACAATCATGTCATAGGCGGTGGTGAATTAATTATTTATGAATAATTAATTAATTCATAGCAAATTCATTATTTGTAGCCTACTGTTACTGACCCGCATGGTCTTTGTTTTACCCATAACCAAATCATAAATAAATAAAGTTACACACAAATCACCACCTGTCAATCACTTTTTCCGCGGGACTCTGGCATGAATTGGCAGAGTGATCTGTGTCGTTATAATGGCGTTGACAAACTTGTTTGGAAAAAAAGGTAC